ACACACACACACACACACACACACACACACACACACACACACACACACCGCATGACGGTGAGGTGGTGAGGGAGGCAGGGCAGCCGGGGGCAGGAGCAGAACGTTTCATGCACGCAGGAGCCTCCACACTCAATCCTACCTGCTTAGGTAGACTGCTCGTACATATTTCATCTGCGCACCGGAAGCAGCGAGAGAAAGCACAGGAAGCCAAGCCATACAAACCCTCCGTCAACAGCGCCCCGCATTGGGCCCCAAATATCCAGATCCGTTAGGCTGTGGGGCGCACTCTCATGTAAACCACCACACACACGCATTATCACCCGCTGTGCGTGTAGAAGCAATGATGTAAGGAACAGTTGGGCCTGGGGGTCTCCTGTGGATACGGGAACTATTTCTATCAGAGCAAACTTTTGGTTCTGAGATCCAAAGTTTTGGAGAGACGTCATGCTGAGCGGCTTTGCAGCTACTGCTAGCGCTCCGGCAAGTACGAGGCACGGCCAGCGGCCGGCGAGCACCTCCCAAGCGAAGGAATCGCAGTTCTGGAGAGAAAGAACCACATACCGTCCCTCCACAGCCTTCTCTTCTCCCTTCTTTCCCGTGTTTCCACACAAACGTCAGGCAAAGCAAGACCCTCCTCCCAAGCGCGGGGGAGCGCGCAGCGTCCCTCAACTGTCCTCTTTGCCAACGTGGTTTTTAACCCTGTCTGTCTTTACACCTAGCATATCAGGCCTACAAGAGGCGGCAGAACAGCAAGGCCGGGAGGCAGCCCCCGGGGCGGCCGGAGGTCTGCGGTGACAAGAACCCCGGAGAGACCAGTGTTTTCCTGGAGGAAGGTGGCGGCGCGGCAGTAGCCCTGGGGCCGCAGAGCTGAGCACCCAGCTTCCTTCCCGTGGATGGTGGGAGCCGCGGCCCACCTCGGCCCCCACCTCCCAGCAGTGAGCAGCAGGCGCCTCCCCACGGAGCTGGCCTCCCGCCGTGGATTTTAACTCCAACTGCAGGACAGAGCGTCCCCGCCACCTCCCGACTTCCGGCAGACGCTTTGGAGAACTAGGGAAGAGAAGATGAGCTTCCACGATGGGACTCCCAAGCGATGAAGCATCCTTTAATTTCGAGGACGCGTGTAATGCAAGCGGGCTGGTTCCTTCTCCCGAGAGGGACAGACAGGCGCCGGGAACCTCCAAAACAGACACACGCGCCTGCCCCGAGTCTCCAAAACGAGAGACGGGTGCGCATGCGCAGCCCTCGGGTAGCCTGTGCACCAAACCACCTGAAAAGCCTGGAGCCCGTGTCCTGTGTGCTCTGACGGTCATCGCCGTCGGCCTCAGCACATCTTAACACATCCGCGATACCTACCTCACTCTTTAGAACGGCGGCTGCACCGTGTTCTACAGGACTGTAATTTATTCAGCTGCTCCGGATTACCGCGTCCTTTCGACCTGAGAAAACATCTCATTAAATTCGTGATTTTAAAAATTATGAACGACAACATTTTAATGCTCATTTCCTTCTGTTCGTCCACCTTCCCCAACCCCCTTTTGCCTTTTTTTGAAGACAGGATTTCACAGTGTATCCCAGGGTAGCTTTAAGCTTTCAAAAATCCTCCCGCCTCAGCCTCTCCAACGCTCCAAACTGCAGTATGAGCCATTGTCCCTGGCTGCTTTGCTTTCCGTTGGTGGAGGCCACGGCTCTCTTAGCTTTTGATTTCCTCGTGTGTCTTTTATTTTTAAAACTCATGTCTTGGTGCAGTGCGTTAGAGTTCTGTTTTTAAAATCTGCCCTTACCGACCTCTCTTTGTGTGGGGAACTGCGTGTGTGTGTTGAGGGGCAGCAATGTCATGCATGCGGAGGCCAGAGGCTTTGGTCCTTCTTTCTGCCTGGCTTGCGATGGGGGGCTCCCGTTAGTCACTGTGTGTGCCCGGGTAGTGCCCAGGAATTGCTGGGTCTCTTCTCTCTCTGCCTCCCATTTCACCACGGGAGCGTGGAGATTACAGATGTGCTCCTGCAGCTAGTCGCATGTGGGTTCCACGCCCCCAAACTCAGGCCCTTGGGCTTGAGAGAAGAATGCTTCTCCAAGCCATCTGCCCAGCCCAAGACTTTCATGTTTATGTGTGAGTGTTCTGCCTTGCATGTATGTACGAATGTGCACTATGAGCATCGGGTGCCTTCAGAGGTCAGACGAGGGATTTGAACCCTCTGAGACTGAAGTTACAGCTCACTGTGAACCACCTGATGGGTCTGGGGACCAACCAGGTCCTTTCCAAGAGCAGCCAATCAAATGCTCTTAACTGCTGAGCCACCTCCACAACCTTGATTCCATCTCTTTATTTGGGGTCCTCAGGAAGAGCAACAGGTGCTCTTAACCACTGAGCCACCTCTCTCCACATACATGTTTATATTTAGGTTATTAAACATCATATATCCAATCATTTATCTCTTCTATGCTCACTGATATGTTTCCTTTTTATACATGTGAGGTACTTATGAGATACTTTTTTATTTTTCATGATATACTTTTTAATTGATTTTTATTAATTTATTAATTTTAGTGGCGGTAGGGTCTAAACCCAGTGACCCACAAATGCCAGGTAAGCCCTTTGCACAGAACCAGACACACAACTCTCTATGTAAGGTGTCCTGATGGGACCCTGACTTATTTGGGACCTATTTTCATTTGTAAATTTTGCAGTGAAGGAGGTGTGTAATCTGAGGTTAAATGTTTTATCCATTTATCTTGTACATTTTCTCAGTATCTTTTGGGTGAATATGACTGCAATGAATCTTCAGGCATTTTTCCAGTTCAGAATATTTCTGTGGCAGTGTGGACAGACCCCAGACTAGGGTTTAGACTAACAGATACTCATGTTTGTGACATGATTGCTAGTTCCTAGCTGTTGCTCTACTAAAGCTGGTCCGTACCGTGTTTGGTAACACAGGAGAAGCAAAACAGAGCAGAAAGAGCTCCTTCCCTTGGGAGTTTAGCTTAGGGGTAGATAGACCACTGAGGAGGACAGGGGCAGGATAGCTCTGAGTTAAGATCCAAAAGAAGCCCCTTCCTGGAGATGTCCCAAGTGGCTTGTGTGAAAGGCTGTTCTGTTAAAATGGTACATCTGAAGACTATGCTGAGGGCCACACCAGGCTGCTTGCAGTTCTCAGAACAAAGGGGAAATCTGGCAGGCTGATTACGCTTTGTTTTTCAACTCGAGACATATTGGAGTCATCTGGAAAGAGGGAACAGCAACTGAGATGTCGCCATCAGATTGGCTTATAGGTAAGTCCAGGATGTTCTCTCTTGATTAGTGATGGATGTGGGAGGGCCTAGCCATCTCTGGGGGCTGTGCCACCCTTGGGCAGGGCTCTTGGGTTGTATTCAAGCAAACTGTGTTTCTCCACCATCTCCGCTTCAGTTCTTGACAGGTTCCTGCTTTTAGTCCCTGCCCTGACTTCCCTCAGTGCTGGAGAGTGACCTGGGACATCTAAGCTAAGTAAACCCTTTCCTCCCCACCATGCTTTTGGCCACTGTCTTTGTCATGGCAACAGAAATGAAACTAGGATACCTCATAAAAGTTTGACTAAAAGCACTGCACTCTAGCTGGTGCAACAAATCACAGGCTCCTAGGAGCTGGGCCTCACATGACACATGGGCCCTTGTGGCAGAGTGGGGATGGAGGCTGCATGCTCCTGGCGGGAGGGAAGAGCACACGGCCTTCCAGGGCTGCTTGTGACCCATGCAAACATCTAGGATACTGTGAGCTGAGGCTGAGGCTGGAACTGAAGCAGCCATGTCCAGACCTTGAGGAACGGCTAGGGCAGTGGCGAAGCTGCTGGCTTTCCTCAGCTACAGGGACAGTCTTAGCGAAGGCCTGTTAGAGTTTGGAGATTATGGAAGGGAAACTTTGCTACTCTTATACCCTTGACCTCTACTGGCAGAGGTCATTCTCTCTGACCAATAAGGCAGGAAGCTTCTAGAAGGACCCAGATGGAGAAGTGAGAGAGGGGACCCATGGGTGACATATCCAGGCCACCTTCACATCCTCAGCTTGCTTTCTTGAGGGAGAAAAACGGATCTCCCTCTTGGGTCAGCCTGCTTGGGTGCTTTTTAGATACCTCCGCTAAAATACAAACCAAAATCGGTACATTAAAACTGTATTCGTTTTCAAATTCTCTTCAGGTTAACTAATAATCTGTCAAACTTATCTCTAACACAGAAAGGTATCCTGAAGCTAGGCAGTGGTGGCTCACACCTTTAGTGCCAGCGTTTGGGAGGCAGAGGCAGGCAGATCTCTGAGTTTGAGATGAGTCTGGTCTGGAGTTCCAGGACAGCCAGGGCTATACAGAGAAACCCTATGCTGCTGTAAATCTAATGGCATGCTCTAATGTCTATCATCAGCCCTGTGCTTATTACTGCGTTGCATCTAACCTGCTATCATAGAGATAGACACCTGTTGTGTTTTAGAACAGCCTTACATAACTTGGGACAGGGCGGATATTAACCCTCTAAGCTACCTTTGCCTCCCAGCCCCATCCCGGGCTACCTCCCTCCCATAGTTCCATAAATACTTACTCCACCATCCATGTGCTTCTTCCTCCACCTAACCCACTGCAGTTTCCACTTCCTTCTTCCTCCTCCTCTTCCTGTTCCTCCCATGATCCTTCGGTCCCCACAGCCCGAGAACCTCAGCCACGCCCACCTCCGTCTGCCCTGCACAGCTTTAGGCCTTTAATCAGCCAATCAGAGACAATTCCTTAGGCAAGGTTACATGTTATTTTGAGGTATGGAGTGTTTGCTCATCTGGGCAGTAACCAGGTCTTGGGGGCATCAGAAAACAAAGTACCAGACCAACCCCCAACACCCTCTCTCAAAAATCCTATTATATACGTATTTACAAATATCTCTACCAGGCACATCTACCAATGTTAGATACAAGCTAACTCATCTTTTGAGACAGTCTCACCAACCTGCCTTGGAACCATGTAACCTGGGTTGGCCTTGAACCCGTGGCAATCCTGGCTGGGTGCTGGGATTATAGGTGCCAGCCACCGTGCCTGTTCTCATCCTGCAGTGCTCTTGACCATATACAGTGCCAAGATTAACTGTCTGTAGAATTCACAATGGTGTTTCCATACGAATGTGTAGCAAGCATTGGCCATATCTGGGCAACCCTCTCCACCCTCACCCTGCCCTGTTACCACTCCTCCCCATGCCCCAGTAATGAGTGCTTTTATTTCCAACATGAGAGAACTTATTTTTCTCTCCCGTTTTGTTTAACATGTTGTCTCCTGGCTACTTCCATCCCTTGGATAGTGGCAGATTTCAGTGTTCTTGATAGCTGAGTGATAATCCAACTGTGTGCATAAACTTAAAACATCCACGGATCTGCTGAAGGGCACACGGGCTGTTTCTACAGCACAGCTATAACATATGTCAAGAGCTGGAGTGAACACCCGTGTGCAGGCACTTCTTTCGGCGCTCTATAGACTGGCACAGCTAGACCACAGGGAAGCTCGAGTCTAGGCATTTGAGGATGTGGCAGTGAGGTGTGGCCCAGGCCTGACTGGGTGAGTGTATCCACTCTGTGTGTGGCCACCTGTGCTCTTCTGAGGATGACCTGGAGAGCTACTTTTGGCTCACAGAACAACCATCAGCCTGGGTTCTTAAAAAAGGAGTGGGGAGAGAGGGAAGAGAGAGAGAGGCGGGGAGTGGAGAGAGCCAGCCAGGCTTTCTGATTCCTGGAACTGTTACATAAACTAGAATCAATCATTGTTGAGGCACTGCAGGCTTTGGCTGATGTTTCTAGCACATGAAAAACACAGGGCTGTCTTTAGTTACTGATCTGACATCTGAGTTCCCCAGCATGTCCCCTGGCTTTGTGGCCTTCTTTAGCTGGCATTTTAACCACAATGGCCTTGCCAGTCCATGGGGTGGAGCCGGGGCCCAGATGAAGGCAGTGACACATTGCACTAAGCCTCCACTTGGCCACCAGCCACAAACCTCAACCTGCATCTTCCTCCGAGTTTCCATTTCTCAGCTACATTCTTCTAAAAAGTCTCCTCCAGCACTGCCCTTGCCCAGCTACGCAGGCTTCAGACAGCAGCTAATGGCCTCCAGCTGTGCCAGCTCCCGGCCCTCTGTGGCCTGGCACCTCCTGATACCAGTGGAACCTCCCCCTCCTTCCCCGACCCACAGTGATAGTGCTGGTTACAACTTAACCTACGACCATGCTTCCAATTAAGGCGGGAAAGCAGGGCGAGGACCCTGCAAGGTGTAGAGACAATTCTGAGGCAGGATGAGTGTGCAGATCTGTTACCCGGTGGGGAGTCAAAGGCACCACCATGATTGTGTGTAGCCTGCAGAGCCTCATCTCCTCAGGCACGCACCCCAGCCATGGCTGTCCTTGTAAGATCAGAAATGCCTCCAAGACGGAGCAGGGTGGGAGCAGCGCAGGAGATCTGGGTGTTGGAGTGGGGTGGTGTGTGTTGGGGAAATCAGCCAGCCCGGTATTCAGAGAATCACTTCCTTCCTGAAAAATTCAACATGAACCCCAGGGAGGAGGCGGCTACCTCCGACTGCGCCTCGGCCAGCTGTGTATTCTGAACGCCTCCCATTTCAGTGCTCAGCGGGGCACAGGGACTGGGCGTGTGGTGCCACTCGAAGGTAGGGAAGAGCAAGTGAAACCGAGACCCCAAGGCAGCCCTTACGAATATCAATCAGGGCCTCTGACATACCACATGCCTGGTCGCTGGCGTGACCTGACCAACTGGGAAATGGCTGAGTGAGGGTCCACACTCCCAGAGGCACGGACACTGTTGAAAAGAACACTGAAGATGCCTGAACTGCTTGCCTATGTCTTAAGGTGTGGTTTATTTACAAAGTGAGATAATGCATTAAAAACAAATGATTCAGTACAAACGGGTATATGATAACTCCGTGTTCATGAAAAGTATATAAATATATTACAGGAAATTGTATATAGTAAACATTAGAAACGAATACAGTAAACATTGCTAGTTTTTTTCTATGCCAATATTACTGTCATTAAAAGCTTAAATACTGGCTTCAAGTATCCCCTAGAAAATAAATCTACTTTATTAAAATACTGGAAAATTTTTGCTATAAACAAGATTTGGTACATTAAAAATAGACTCAGTGTGTCTGTAACAATGTCCACTCTGATCAGCCCTAAGATCTGCCTCATTCAGTTAGTGATGAAGGATTTTGACAGCCATCAGAGGTTAAAGTGACTGTAAAACACAGCGTCTTGACACAATGTCTTACAGGAACACCCGTTCTGGAAGGACTCGGGACAGCGCGGTACTGCAGCCTTGCTGCTCTCGTGTGAGGGGAGAGCAGGGGTCAGCGGGAGGCAGAGCAGGAAGCGAGTGGCAGGGAAAGGCCTGCTCTGCCTCACTGTGGGAGCCCCGGCCGTGCCTTCTGTTCTTCGGCCTGAAGATGAGTCAGGACGTAGAGGACAACCTGATAGCAGAAGACATACTGACCCTGTAGGGGAGGCAGTGGGACAGGGGGGACACGGATAAATTTTATTTGCATAATGTAAGTTTATACACAATAGGTGTTTGAGAAACTTGAAAAAATAAACTGTTTAAGTGCTGAATGTAAGAGTCAGTGTATAGAATTGTATAGTGTCATGAAACTATAAACAAAAAATTACTAAAAAGGAAAAGGGAAAGACCCAGTAGGTTATATGGATAATTCTGGGTTGTATAAACGTCCTAAGAAATCCTTCTTCCTCTAACCGTGTGTCTGTCCCCACAGCAGCTCACGTTCTAATACAATACTAGAACGATCATTGAAAGTGAGCCCAGTCATGCCACTCCCACTACAGGCCTGGGACAGCTTGCCTCTCCCTCAGAGGACGTCACCAGCCCTGGCTCTACCCCCTCCCAGTCCCTCCTGTCACTCTGCTGCGGGGACCCGCCCCTTCGTGGCAGCACACTGCCCCAGGACGCCTCACATCTCCGCTTCAGCGCTGCTTCCTTTTCAAAAGTGTCACACATGCATATAATGCTTTGATCCCCTTTGCTCCCCCACACCCCCTCACCGACCCTGGTTATCCCCCTAACCCTCCTCCACGTGCTTTTGCGATTCACTGACTTTGACCGGGGCCATGTATGTGACCATGAGTTTGGGGCTGTCCACTGGAACCCGGAGGTTCCATCTGTGGGGAAACACCTGAAGGCAGGGGTTACTTTCTTTTTAAACTTTGGACAGGGTCTCACCCTGCAGCTCTGACTGGCCTGGGCCTCTCTACATAGATCAAGTCGGCCTCAAACTCAGAGGCATGGGGCATCAAGCCTGGCTGGTGTTATTTTCCTAATGGTGTCACTCTGTGTAGAATTGTAGTGGCTGGCTTCCTTCACTCCTCCTCACGGAAGTGCCCCTCACTCTCAGAGCTGCGTGTGGGCCTGCCACACTCCCCCCCCCCCGCCGCCCCGGGGTGTCTCTGGTCCTGCAGCAGGTGTGTCTGGCTCTATGATGAGGCCCAGGCCCTGGGAGAAACTCCTGGCGCAGATCTCAAGCGTCCTGAATGAACACACAGGGAAAAGAACAGTGCTTCCACCCATCAACACGGGGTCCTGAACTAGCTACGGCACGGCTGCAGATCAGCTTCACGTTTATGGCGCCTTCGTTTGAATCAAAACTGCACGACTGGGAAAGTAGGCAAAGCAAAGACAGCCATGCCAACGTTTTTAAGAGGCAGATAAGTGGGGCACGGTGGACATGTGGAAACCTTTTTTTATCTACCTCACAGCCAGTATAGGAAAAAGGAAGCTTAGCAATGCTAGGCTCTTAGAACAGTGTGCTTTCTGTAACAGGTGGCCCAGCTGGACGACACTGGGGGATGCAATCGTGCTCAGTTTCAGGAAAGAAAAGTGAACACAAGAACTTGTGGGAGCTCCTGGCCAGTGCCCGGAAGAGCCCATCCCCTCCCCACTGTGCCGCAGGCCTGCCTCTCCATCTTGTCTGGGCTTCAGCAGCCTGCGCTGCCCTGCCTGCCAGGCTGGAGCCTGGGGAAGGCCACGGCCCCTCAGTAGGGCAGTGTAGGCCTCACTCCTACTCCGAGCCTCCAACACACACGCTCTGGGACCTCTCAGCAGACAGGCTAGAGAACCCCAGGAATGTGCCTGAGTCCACTCTCCCAGTCTGTGATCACAAATGTATGCCATCCATCATGCCTGGCTGTGTGTGTGTGTGTGTGTGTGTGTGTGTGTGTGTGTGTGTGTGTGCGCGCGCACCAGGTTTCGCTATGTAGCCTTAGCTGTCCTAGACTTGATTTGTAGACCAGGCTGGCCTTGAACTCACAAAGATCAGCCTCTGCCTCCCTGAGTGCCGCCATGCCCAGCTCATGCCTGGGTTTTTCTGTAGTTTTGAGGATCAGACCCAGGACCTCCTGCTGTTGAGACATGTGACAAGCATTTCACTGAAGGAGCTATCTCCTGAGATCCGTTCTCCACATTTAAAAAAATTAAAGGTAATATCTAAAATGATAAAGTCTAAAATACTTAATTATTTTCTGAATTGGCCCTCATGCTAAAATAATGGTTCTTTATGACAACAGATGTTGGTTTTATGCTAGAATGTGGAAGAAAATCCTTAAAGAGAGAGAGAGGTTGCTGGGCCGTGGTGGAGCCTTCCTTGATTCTCCAGGTACCAGGAAGGCCATGGCAAGAAGTGTGTTCCAGCCCTACAGTTCCGGGTCAGCCTGGGCAACACAGCCAGACCATCCCAGGAGAGGAAATACGAAAGAGAGAACAAAGACTAGAGAACAAGGTCTCACCTCCGTCTGCACCATGCCGTGCCGTTGCAGTCTCATGCAGCGTACTAGGTCGGAGATGTCGAACTGCGGGGACAGAGTGGGCGTTACACACAGCCGGGGGACGCACACATGGGCACCCGGGGTGGACGCACGCACGCATGCCTGGGGAGGACGCACTTACGAGCACCCCGCACCCTGCTCTCTATGCTGCTGCTCAGAATTAGCGCAGACTATGTTGGAAAACCTTCAGCAGACGTTCTCTTCCTCTGAAACTTAGCTAATTTCTTTAACTATAAAAAATACCGTAAGCCATGTCCCTCACACCCTGCTGTCCAGAATGAAATTCAGATCTTTTTAATTTAGTTGACACTTAACAGTCTATGCAAGGGCAGACGGACTGCTGGGGTTGCTCCACGTCAATGCTCAGCTCGTGAGAACGGCAAGCACTGGACAGAACTGCTCATCTAAAATCCTTTAAGAGACAGTGGTTTAAATCAGTCTATATGAAGTTAAATGCACGACAGTTTGGCAACTAAGTAGGTTTTACACTTAGGTTAGAGTGAAAGTAAGTTTACACTGTTAATTGCTTCTTTTAGAATGATAGATTAGCATTAATTTTCAAACAAAACTATTCATTTCTTATCCACAGGGAACATAAGAACAAAGCCCAGTATTTTCTCTTAAAGAGTGGGCCATCTTTTGGACCTCGGCATTTCCTCTAAGCCTGGGCAACAGTCGTGAGCAGACCTCACGGAGACGCTCAAGACCTCTTCAGGGCCACAGAGCTTCAGCACACAATTAGCTGCTGCACCATTAAACAGCAGATTATGTCTGGTACTCACTTCAAGGTCTTGGCTGATTAATCCTAGGACCACGTCTATGCATATGAGGGTTCCTGAACGTCCAATGCCAGCGCTACAGTGCGTGACGACCGGGCCTGACCGATGGATGTGTCTCATGTACGAGATGAAAGTGAGCAGGTCGTCTGGCCGGGAAGGCGTGTCGTGGTCTGGCCAGGCGGTGAAGTTCAGATGGGAAATGTGCCGCACCTCTCCTGTCTGAGAGGGTAAACATCAGAGTCAGCCACAATGTCGCGTTGTTCCTAAGTCAGGTTCTCATAATATCATTTTGATCTTTCAAACTTGGGTGGTATACTGGGTGAGGGCAAAAGAAAAATGGAAGAGAGAAAAAGGCGTCATAAATACCCCAAGCTGGGTATGGTGGTGTCCACCCAATTCCAGTGTTTAGACCAAGACAGGAGGACGGAGTGCGCAAGGCCAGCTGAGGGTACAACGCAAGACTGTGACTCAAAACCACAGCAGCAACAGACAGAAAAGATATAGGTGAAATACACCACCACCACCTCCTCCACCTCCACAGCTGCCATCACCACCACCACCACCACCACCGCCACCGTCATCACTGCCACCTCTTCCACCACCATCACAGTCCTCCTGTCAACACCACCACCATCTCCACCTCCACTGCCACCGCCGCCGCCCTCCTGGCTGGGGATGGTACTCAGGCCCTTGGGTGCACTCTGCGAGTGTCATACCTAGCTCGTGTGGGCTCATTTCAATAAATACACTGGCAGTGTTGAGTCTCAGAACCTTCAGACCCTCTTCCCAGTTAGGAGCCCCTCCCGGGTCCCCGACGCTTCATCATCTCCTTCAGTGTCTCTCAGGCCTCCCTGACCCAGTACTCACTGTTCAACCATTTCTTTCCCTGCTTCATTCCCCCTGTAAACAGCAGCACGGCACCCCCCAAGGCAGTAAGCGCCATGGGGTGCGGAATGACTTTTTGTCTGTTGTTAAAATGCTAGACCCGGGGTTCCCAGGGCTGGAGTTCTGGCACCACGTATATATGACCAGATCACTCGAGGAACACTGAGCACTGGGCAAGCTGGCATCAGCCAAAGCATGGCATGGTACCCGGGAACGGAAATAATTTCCACATGTCAATTAGAGGCTTAGGTTTCATAAGAGAGTAAAACCTAAATACTCTGTAAAATAATGAGCTGTAAAGAAAATTCCCACACAACACATGATGCTAACAGAAATGAATCAATATACTTTTTTTTTTTAAATAAAAAAGTGTAAGAAAGGGACTGGGGACACAGCTCAGTGGGTAAAAGCTTTTCACACAGGCATGAGAACATGAGTTTGCAGCCCCAGCATCTGCAGAAAAGGCTGGCATGGTGACACCCCTTTAATTCCAGGGCTAAGGAGATGGAGACAGAGGAGCCTGGGCTCGCTGGCTAGCCAGGGCAGCTCAGTCTGCGAGCTCTGTATTTCGGGAGAGATCCTTTCTCAAGGAGGGTGGAAAGCCACACAGGAAGGTTTGAGCATCAACCTCCAGCCTCCATACATACTTGTGCAATACATAGCTGCACACATCTGTGTACACACACAAACACACATACACATAGAAAGAAAGAAAACTGAAAGCAAAAGTTGAAGAAAGCTGACTATTGAGTCACAAACATGGCACCACATAGCTCCTGTTTCTGGGAAGGGGTGCGAAGGCCGACCTCTTGAGTTCAAGGGTAGCCTGGTCTACAGAGCGAGTTACTGGGCAGTGAGGACTATAAAGACAAAGCACATCCCCCCCCCAACAATCAATCAAATAAAGAAAGTCTGTATGCACGCTGTGCTATTTGTTTCTAAGAAAGAATGAAGGTCACACTGGAAGCTCCCATCTTTCACTCCAATACAGCAGCCACCAGGGGAAGCTGTAAGACGGCCACACTTAATGCTCTCTGGGATGCTGCCATGTTTACGGGACCGCACATTCCTTAAATCCCAGCACGCAGGGGCGAGGGCTCCAGCTCAAGCTGGAGCCATGTAGCGGATTTGAGGGCAGCCTGGGCTACATGAGACCTAGTCTCAAAAATAAAACCACAGATGACTTGCTCCCATTGCAACAGTCACAGACAGCACGGGCCTGCCTTCTGAGGAGGAGCCAGCCAGGGAGGACCGCTGACTACCTGAATGTCCTCCAGGGCCATCAGCCTCACAATGAAGCCCTTCAGCTGCTGCATTCTCAGGAGGGCCAGGCGCAGTCTCTCGTTGGCCATGGTTGTTGTGCCGAGGATGCTGGGCCAGTAGCGTTGGCATTTGACCTTTTCTCCTTCCACCTCCTGAGTCATCATGGCAATCACTGTGGCGTGCTGCTCCCAAACCATCTGCCAGAAATCCCCGACCGTGGTGGGCAAAGGCCCCTGGCAGGCAATGTAGACGAATTCCTGCGTGCCCACTGGGATCCTGATGAAACTGGCATTGATGTATCCGCCGTCATCCCCAAGGGGCACTCTTGTGGTATCGTCTGAGAATGTCCAAGATGAAAGAGTTATGTCACACACTGTCACTGCAGCCTTCACAAAAACCAGGAGTGAAAGGCCACAACAGCTCCTTCAGCCCTGCACAGGCTAGCGTCCTTCTGCTTTGACAGGGTACATTTTCAAATGCATTAGTCAGTCCACGCTGTGCTTACGTTTTTGATACACTGTATTCACGCCATGGGTATGTTTATTGTTACACTGTAGCTAAACTTGCTACACTGTATCTAAACCTCAGGGTGGCGGCCCTCTAGAAGGCTTGCGGTTTACGAATACAGAGTAAATGTGAATTACTATTGTGAGAACAGATGGAACTGAAAGTAAAAGTAACAAATCCAAGTAGCCCTTCATGGTAAACAATTAGAGAAGCAAACAAACATTTTTGTTACTTCTCTGTCGGTATTTAATGCCAATTACCGCTGTCCTGAAACGATGGGACAATTACTGTCCAGAACAAAAGTTAGCACTGAATGACACTGTCCAAGCAGCTGCTGGGACATTATTAACAGATCTAACTCATACATACCTGAGAGGGTTTTTATTTTATTTTGTCATTTTTGTATTACTTTATTTGCATGGTTTCTTTGGTGTGTGTGTTGGGGGGGGGGTGACACAACACACATGTGGAGGACAGAGGACAACTGGACAGGGTCATCTCTCTCCTTCCACTGTGTGGTCATCAGGCTCAGCACCTTTCTTTACCTGTTGCGATATTGTCCTGCTCTCATTTTTATTTTAAATATTTATAAGTTTAACAAGTAGTTTTAGTGATAACCAAGGTAAAGTAAAACCTTTAAAAATAGGTTTCAAAATTTATTGCTTGCCTTTTCTTTCTTAGTCCATAGTTTGTTTCCTTACAATAAATTTACTATTTTTATATTTATAGTTTTTTCCATTCTGGCTTCACAACATAAATCTGAATGTTTTTCGGCCTCATAGATCAGCTGCTACTTTTTTTTTTTTTCGAGACAGGGTTTCTTTGTGTGGCGCTGGCTGTCCAGGAACCCACTTTGTTGTCTACTTGATACTGAACCACGATCTACTCCATTTTAAAAACTTTCTTACATTCTTTTTTCTTTCTTTAAACACAGGTCCTCTCTATGCAGTCTTGGCTGTTCTAGGACTCACAGCGCATACATTCCATGAGAGCCACATCAGAACCACAGGGAACACACCTCAGTTAGACCCACACTGGAACACACAGGGAACACACACTCAGATGCACACTGGCACTCACAGGGAAGGATGTTTTTGTATCTGTTCTTCCTTCGGTTTTCCTTAGTCTGTCCAATCAGACACTGGTCCAAAGGTTTTAATTCTTGAAGGTTCTACAAGTAACAAAATGGACACGAGGTTAGGTAATCCAGTCAGGGAAAATGCTTCTTTTGTCTGTGCTGATCAGGGCTGACCGCTGCTAACAAACAGAGTCCAGTTCAGATTCGCAAGTCCCCACTGAGTGTATTAATGCAAGCACCTCTGACAGGACAGGTCTCGGCCAGCTAACCGATAGACAGCACTTCTTAACCCAAGTTTTCACGTCGTTCAAAATGTCTGTAATTCTAAAGAAAAAAATCTGCAAAGGTGAGTTTGGCTCAAGGCAACATCTGGAATATCTTCCGGACAGTGTCATCTGTAGGGTCACAGACTATCGCTGCTGAGGATGGTTCACTGTGCAATGGTCAACTCTTTCTTGTTGTCATCCATCCCCTCACCTTGAAAGGCATCGCCGCCGCCTCTTGGGCAGATCTGCGAGGTACTGTAGTAAGTGCTGGGGCCATGGCAGCGAGCAAAGGGACACTTAGCTCTCAGGGAACTTCATGGAGACAAACAAACATGGTGACATGCCTTTTAGAAATTATAAGATGCTGGGGGAGGGGAAACCATGGTCTACTTTAAAGGTGCTGTGATGGAGAACGATTTTAACTCCAAACCTTTCTAACAAAATGAGACTTACGGAGAGGAGGTGCGCATCCCCATTACTGATGGTCTATGGAACCGTTAGGGTGCAAGCACATAGCACATATGCCATTCTGTCTGCAGCTTTCTCATGTAAAAAGGTGTTTTTACATGAGGGATGCAGGATATCATTAGAAAAGTCTGAGCAGTATAGTATCATTGGGATCCTCAGTGGGAAAACTGAGTTATCATTAGCTATGGTAAGCCCTTTTCAGAGTGGTGATGTGGGGTGCTGTGCTTTGAATGAACGCAGCCCACAGGCCCGCGGGGAACGGCACTATTGGTGTGGTCCTGCTGGAGCACATGGGGCACTGGGCTGAGTCTCAGATGTTCAGGCCAGGCCTGGTGTCTCACTCCTCCTGAAAAAGGTGTAGAACTCTCAGCTTCTTTAGCACCATGTCTGCCTGCACGCCACCGTGCTTCCCGCCATGACGGTAATGGACTCAACCTCTCAACGGTAAGCCAGCTCCAATGAAATGTTTTCCTTTGTAAGAGTTGCCCTGTACCTAGCCTATCAGGTCTCATCAGGACTGGCTGAATGCACCATCTTCCTCTGTGGTCTGGTAAGGCTGCTCCCCCCCTCAGGGGGAGGTGATCAAAGAGCAGGCCAATCAGTTCATGTCAGAGACAGCCCCTGTTCCCTTCCTAGGGCACCAACTTGGGCACCGAGTTGCTATGGGCTTCATCTGAGCAGGGGTTCTAGGTTATCTCCATGAATGGTCCTTGGTTGGAGTATCAGTCTCAGAAAAGCCCCCTGGGCTCAGATTTTTGGTTCTATTGCTCTCCTTGTGGAGCTCCTGTCCCCTCTAGATCTTTCTATCTCCTCCTTCTCATAAGATTCCCTGCACTCTGCCCAAAGTTTGGCTATGAGTCTCAGCATCTGCTTTGATACTCTGCAGGGCTGAGTCTTTCAGAGGCCCTCTGTGGTAGGATACAAAGGGAATGAACTGTAATTAATAAAAAATAAAAAAATTTGCAGCATTATAAACATGTCAAAACTTTATAAAATGTATACTTTCCTAAAGTATACTGTGGTTTGCTCAAAACATTAAAACCTAATAAATAAATAAATAAATAAATAAATAAATAAATAAATAAATACATACATACATACATACATACATACATACATACATAAATAAGGAGTTGCCCTGGCCTTGGCATCCCTTCCCAGCAATGGAACTCTACCTAAGACAGAAAGCAACCGGCAGTTTCTCCTAACCTTGGGCCAGCCAGGACACTCCGTGGGTGCAGGAGCCACTCACCTCCAGCTCCTTAGACGGGATCCCTTGGTCAAGCAAGCCCTGAAGCGTGCGGATGGCGGCCTGCAACTGAGCACCGGTGTACTTGCCGGAGGGAGGGACTCTGACCACTGGCAGGGCCGCCAGCTCCTCGTCCGTCAAAAAGAGGTGATCTGTGAGAAAAGACCAGATGGCTCTCAGCTCTCCCTGGAGCCTACAGGGACGGGCTTGTGTGAACGAGAGGCTCAGCGGAGCAGCAACTCGGCTGACTGCCGATGACGCCGATGACGTCCACACAGCTTTGGCTACTGCACAGCTACCTCGACACCGCTCACATCTGGAGGGCTTGCGACTCCCAGTTAGTTACATGTTTGAGCCGAGCATGTGTCCTTTTTGCCTGATTTTAATGGCATTGTTTATATGAGGGAAGCCTGCCCAGGAGCCCTATTACTGTGCATTCGATTCTAAGTGCTGCAGGAGACGAAGAAGCTGTCAGAAAGCCACCCCTCAGGAGGCTGCTCAGAACACAGGCTTCCTCTTCACTACCTTGGCACTCAGTGCTGCCAGCTGGATCTGGCAGAGAATACTCTCCTCGGGCTGGTCAGGGGTTGAATTAACCGAGTACCCTGGAAGGACCTGGTCCAAGTGAGTATCCGCTGTGTGGACTGGTTATTATGGAAGGTCACTATCCTGGCAGTGTAGATGCCTCACTCCTGCAGTGGTTAGGGCATGGCAGCAGCCAGCGTGCAGGTGGTGGCCAGAGCCCTCAGGGACTCAGCGCCTGCCGGGCCAGGTTAGCGGGGTGCACAGTTAACTCTGAAAGGCGGTGTGAATGCAATCTGAGCACGAGAGCTAAGCGGGCGCGTGGGCGCTATAGGATCCCATGGAAACGCTGGGCCCAACCGTCTACCCAAGCAGAGAAAGGGTCCGAGTCACTGACTCCTTTTAAAATATTAAGAAGTCATTTAACCCCAGCACCCAGGAAGCACAGATAGGCGGACCTCTGTGAGTTCAAGGTCAGCTTGGTCTATGTAGCAAATTCTGGGTTAGCCAGGGGAACATAGTGAGACTCTTGTCTCAAAGTCGAAAAACAAAACAAAACAAAAATACTAAGACTTTGTGCTTAGCGTTTTTTTGTTTTTGTTTTGTATTTTTTGACTTGACACAAGCAAGGGTTATCTGGGAAGAGAGAACTTCGGTTGATTAAACGCCTCTCTCAGACTGGCACACAGACAGGCCTGTGTGGTACATTTTCTTGGTTGATGTTTAAGGACTCAGCTTAGGGAGGACAGTGTTACCCCTGGGTGGGTGGTCTGGGTCCTCTGAGAAAGCAGGCTGAGGAAACTATGCGGAGCCAGCCTCCAGCAGCACACTCCTCAGCCTTTGCTTTGGTCCCTTCCTCCAGCTCCTGCCCTGCCTTCCCTCAGGGACAGACTGTGGTCAGAATGAATAAACCGTTTCCGTCACAGGCTGCTTTCCAGTCATGGCGTGTATCACCTTGACCAGAACAGGCATCAAGTAACAAAACTTCACTCCTCATGACACATTAAGAAGCATGGAACGAGAAAACTAGTGTTTCTCCACTGGTTCTGCTGTACAACAAAATGGCAGAGGACAGCGCCACTACACCCAGAAGAGGCTGGCCGTCAGGGGCAGCTTCTCCCTGCATTTCACACATTCCCCCGTTTTAACCCCACAGAAGGCAAGCTCTCTGAGTTCTCGTTACACAAAATCAGGACTTTTCGCTTCTGTTTAACTATATACTTTGTGCTCTCCCTAAGCCACGGAAAGTTTTAGCCTCTAATTATGCAAATGATTTGGGTATGGTAACCAAAGTTGGTATTTATGTGGTTTAGCTTCATGCATAAAACTAGAGAGCACATACATATGGTCAAGTAACATCTGTACTGTTAAAAAAAAAAATCACTTAAAGCATCAGTTTTTTTAAAGAAAAAAACTGGAAATAAAATTCTTACCTTTGTCAGAATCCTTGTGGTTTGTTGTCTCTACTGGCAATTCACTGCTTCCCCCTGTGACTTCATCTTCCACAGATATTTCTTCCTGTGCTGCCTGCGTCAAGCTGCGCCTATAAACACATTCAGAGTATTTTTGTCTCCACGATAATTGTAAGTATCATAATTAAAGTCACTTGTTTTCTCTGTGACCACTACAATGCTGTTACTCTTCCTCAACCGGGGAGACGGCTCAGCGGGCAAAGGGGCCATCAAGCCTGATGACCCAGTTTCATCCCTGGGACCCCCGTGAAAGGAAAAGAACTGGCATAGTTGTTCTCTGACCACTCTACTTGTGATTTGACACGTGCGCGCACACACACAACGAGTGAATACGTGTGAAGAACTAAAATAATCAGATTCAGTCAGGCCACGGAAGCACGGGTTTGCTTGCTGTCAGCTCCTCGGGAGGCTGAGGCAGGAGGATCACCTGGAGTTGGAGGCCGGCCTGGGTACAAACAAAAATTAAAATATACACAAGAATCTCTAAATCTAAGTAACTCCCTCTCTTCCACAGGCCCTGAACTCCGCGGCAGACGTGGGGTGGGGTGCACAGTAGCAGTTTTGCTTGCAGACGGCCTCCAGGTCTTTGAACCTGAGGCTGCATGGCTTAAAGCAATGTCCTAGATCAAGCGTGGTGGTAGATGCCTCTAGTCTCAACACTGGGGAGGCACCGAAAGTGGATCTCCGTGACTTTAAGTCCATCGTAGCCTACACAGCCAGGTCCAGGCCAGATAGTGAGACCTTCTCTTAAACTTGGCAAGCATTTTCTAACATCATTGGTTTCATACGGTTTGAAATATTTTTACTGCATTTCATTTAATCATTTAGTGTTTGCGTTTGCAGGCATGCCACGGTGCACAGCGGGGCAATCTGAGGAGTCAGTTCTTTCCTGCCAACAGGTGGGTCCCCGGGACTGAGCTCAGGTCGTCAGGCTTTGCAGCAAGCCCCTTTACCTGCTGAGCCAGCTTGCTGAGCCTGGCTTCACTTTTTAGCAATAAAACTTAAAAAATTTGAAAGTACCAAAAAACAGACAAAAATGAAACAACAAAAATACCTGTAATTAGCAGAACAGTCACCATTTTTGGCATATTTTATTTTAGACACTTTCTCTTTTTTTCTTTGAGCAACAGGTATATAATAAACACATTTTCCTATGTCGAGAGAATCTACTTGGAACACATGCTGGGTCTGTTGGCACACGCCTTTAATCCCAGCGCTCAGGAGGCAGAGGCAGGCAATCTCTGTGAATTTGAGTTCAGCCTGCATTATAAAGTGAGTTCCAGGCCAATCAGAATTATGTGCTAAAGTCTCATCTCAAAAAAAGAGAGACTTATCTATATTTAACCGTGAGGCCATAATTTAATCAATATTTTTATTAAAAAACAAAAAGCTTCATTTAATTAAAATAAAAAGAATAAAGTGTTTACACACACATTGAAAAAGTTTTTTACCTTTCACTGTTTGTTTCTTCACAACCATTCATTAACTACATTGAAGAGAAATAAAAATCAAATTAGTTTACTGCAATAAAACCAATCTCATAAAGCTTAATTATTTTCTGTGAATTACTTTTTGCTGTTAACACTATTATGTTCATATTACAAGGAGACATGACATTCAATTACTACAAGAAGTGGCTGAGGCACCTTCTGCGGCCTGTGAAGTTTTGTTGGTTAACAGTAATTACTCTCTTTGCTCAACTTTAGTTAAAGTTATTCTCTACAAGAAAAGATTTACTTTATTTTAATTATATGTAGAGGAATTTTAATTCAGGACATGGCTGTCCTGGCAAGAGAGCATATCCAAAGACCTTCAGCTCTGTGCGATCCCGCTGGAATATGAACAAGCAGATCTGAGTTCAAGGTCAGCCTAATGTAGACAAAGTTTCAGGTAAAGAAAAGCTTAGGTCCAGGCTTGGTGGTACACGCCTTTAATCCCAAACAATGAAGGTAAAGTTAATTTGTAGAAGGAAGCAGCCATGTTTGACAGATGTCTAAATATAGTGGCAGAAAAAGTGATGAATCAGAGAAAAACCAGAAGAGAATACACCTAACTCTCATGAAAGAGAGGGGATTGTGGAGTGGGGAGGGAAAGGGAAGCTATCAAGGGAGCAGCACACAGAAAGGAGACAGTTTTATAAAGGTTGAAGAGAGAAGTTAGACTCAGGTGAAAACAGAACAAGGCAAAGAATGAGAAGGAGCCAGGAGATTAGAGCAGATTGCTGGAGTTAGTTTAAGGGCAAGCAGAGCAACTCAGAGGCAGAAAGAAAGGTCAGATTGAGTAAGTCAGCAGGGAGAGAAGTTTGAATCAGAACAGCTGAGATGAACCACCTAGCCCAGAGTTTAGAAAGAACTAGGAAGGGTGAGCTTATTCAATAGAAAGACTCAGGCTGAAAACATTCTAAGTGTAGGTTAGATTGTAGAGAAGCTAGAAGCTTCCAGGACTAGGCCTAGGTTAGCGGATGGAAGCGGTAAGCCTCTGAAAAGACAATTAAACAATGCGAATAAGAGCTACTTTTACAACTATGTGTGTGTGCAGTGCATTAGTGCAGGTACCTCTGGAGGCCAGCAGAGGGTGTCAGATCTCCTGGAGCTGGAGTTACAGGGGTTTTAAGAGTTTCAAAATAGGTTCTGGGAACCAACTTCTGAGCCATCTCTGTAGCTTCAATTATTCCAAAGTACACATTTCATCTATTCAAGTAACACTAATTTATTACTACAGATGGTCTGGCCCCAACTATTTGGTTTTAAGCATTAATATTTGTGTGTGTGCATCGTATGTAGGTGTTTGTGTGTGTGTGAATGTGTGCTCATGTGTGTGCATGGTATTTAGGTATGTGTATGTGTGTGTGTGTGTGTGTGTGTGTGTGTGTGCGTGTGTGAGTGCGTGTGTGAGTGAACACAGGCACGCACATAGAGGAAGCTACAGGCCAATGTCCCATGTCTTCATTGGTCCCTCTCCACGTCGTGTTTTGAGACAGGAGCTCATGGAATCCAGGGTTCATAAATTCAGCTAGGCTGGCTGTGCAGCGAGCTCCGGAGATGCTGGGATGTGCTCCCTTTGCTCTGTAGGGTACAGGCGCTCCACCTATAGAGTGCAGGTCCTCTCCAGTGCAGATGTGTGTGGCTGGTCCCTGCTACTCATGTAGGTATCGGGGTCTGGATTAAGGGCTTGCGCTTGCTTCACAGACAGTTCATGATCATCTCCCTCACCTTGAGCTCTGTATTCTCAGAGCACAGACTTCCAGGATTCAATTACACTTTGGAAAAATGAATTATAGCACTTGTGGTAACTACTACAAATGTTCTCTTTCCATTCATCTTAGTTTTTATGTTTGTTCCAGAGAGTTTCACATGCTAACTTTCCATCACAGGTGTGCTAAGAGAGCTCATAGGTATGGTAAGACCACAGGTGTAAGCCTTCAGATCAATAAAACTGGTGGCTTATAAGAAGAGGTACAGATATCTGTCGGGTATCTAGAGGGATAGCTGATCTAGAGGGATGGCCACAGCTAAGAATGTGGTTCACATGCAAGCCAGTGAGGAATCCGACTGTGCTGGTATTATCGTGTTATTATGAGAAAATAATTCTGTTGTGGAGGCCACTCAGTATGTATGGCAATGGAAAGACACAGTCTACAACTCAAGGGCCCACTCGTGTGAAATGTTTGGCAGGGAAGGACAGGTTGTAAGGAAAATGGTGGGACTGAAGATGTGCTCATACAACTTGAGCCAGTTTTTATAGTATAGACCCAAAAATCTTTGCTGCATTGTTGTTCAATAACAAAAAAGAAAAGTAAAATTTCCAAGTGCATGGCTGATTTAATCTATTATAATATAGGTGACAGAATATTAAAATGAGGCGAATTTGTATGTACTTATATGGAAAGAAGGCATGAACAATTGTTAAATGCAAATTTTAAGAATGTGATAAGATGCATGTAAAAAGAATGACATGTGGGCTCTTGCCATGTAACCAAGGTTTGAGCTCTGTGGACGACAGCCTGAGCAGTCTTGATGGCTGCTTTCACATGCATGGTGCAAGGGTAGACAGGAGTCTGTGGGGGTGTGAATGAGATGCCCCACTGTCTTGGGCAGTTAGATCCTGGGTCACCAGCTGGTGCTGCTCTTTGGGGAGATTTAGAGGCATGGCCTCGTTGGAGGAGGTGTGTCTTTAGAGTTGAAAGACTCTGCCATTTCTAGCGCTCTTTCTGCTTGAGCTCTAAGATGGAAGCCTCAAGCTTTCTGCTCCAGCTACTATGCCTGCTGCGGAGAGTCCTGCCATGGCTGACTCAACTCTCTGGGACCATGCGCCCACAAACGCCTCTAAGCTGCCTTGGTCATGACAGTTTTCACAGCAGAAGGAAAGATAAGTATAAACAGAAGATTAAAAAAAACATTTTATATTAATAGTTACATTTAAAGTAATTTTTACAATGAAAATATATCCTAAAAATCAATATAATAAAGTTTTCTGATATAAATATTTATATCAGATATAAAACTGATATAAAACTGTATGACATAACATACTATATGTTATGAATCTACATAATATGATTTTGCTCCTTTTTCAAGAGAAAAGAAGTTTTAGATGACGATTTTTAAAATAGCAGGCAAAGCTTTTTATTTATTTGTAGCTAAAAAGGACTTTAGAACACCCCTATTAAAAGTCAGTTTTAAAATACTGTAGTAAATCTGGGTGTGGTGGCACAGGCCATTAATCCAGCACTTAGGAGGCAGAGGCAAGAGGATCTCTGTGAGTTCAAGGTCAGCCTGGTCTACAAAGTGCAGGACAGCTATCATTGCACACAGAAACCCTGCCTCGAAAAACAACCAACCAAACAACCAGAAATACTAAAATACTGTAGTGAAAATATAATTACATTGTTATGCCTTACAAGAGTCATACAACCTTTCGAAGAACTTGTGCTACTATAACAATTATTATAACTACTAATACTATGATAGTGTAAAAGAATATCTTAAATAAGCCCTCTAGAGAACAGTATTATTTTGAGATAGTCACAAGCTTCTTGGCATCCATCCATACTCCACATTTGTATCTATCTATTGACAATAGCCTTGTGTGTGCTGAGATGGTGTGTAAGTATATATGCCGGTGGTTGACTTGACAAGCAGTTTGACTTCCTCTCCTTCTCCCCTTTCCTTATTCTTTCTTTCCTTCCTTCCTTTTTCTCTTTTTGTTGGTTTTTCCAGATAGGGTTTCTCTGCATAGCTTTGTGGACCAGGCTGGCCTTGAACTCACAGAGACCCACCTGCCTCTGCTTCCCAAGTGCCAGGATCAAAGGAGTGCGCCACCGTGCCCAGACATTCTTTCAATTGAGAACTGATGCAGAGTTTTGCTGGCAGCGACACTGCAATGCAGTGGAATGAGAGCGGCTCCTCGCCCACAAATGTGCTCTGTTGGGAAACAGTGGCCCTGCTGTCTGCTTCACCTGTTTGATTCAAAGACCCCTCTAGGGAGGTACAGCAGCCAGGCTGTTCTCGCAGGCCCAGTCCTCACCTCAGGGACGTCCTCAGGTAACGGAGAACCGTCACAATCGGTATCCTCTGCCCCTTCTTCCCCGTTTGTCCTCAGTGGGTCTGGGAGAGAAACACACAGGTCAAGAAGAGAAAGAAATGTTCAGAGGGCGCAGCGGAGGGCTCATTTACCTACAAAGGGCAGCAGTAAACAGACCTCTGCACGGCAGCCCTGTTAGTGCTCTAACTGGGAGAGCAGAGAGTAGGTGAAGGTAGAATGGACTTATCGTCAACTGGAGGGAGAGAAGTTTACACTAACATATTTATAAATAAAAGCTATGATACTTATTGATACTTTCTGGTTTGCTTTCATGTAATCCAGGCTGGCCTTGAATTTGCTATGTAGCTGAATAGGGCAGTGGACTTCTAATATTCCTGCCTCCACACCCAAGCGCTAGGACCACGGGCATGTAACACCAAGCATGGTTTGCATGACACTGGGCCTGGAACCCGGGGCTTCAGGCACTCCAGGCAAGCACTCCACCCACACCTACGCCCACAGCCTTGACGGATACACCTGAAATCCCACACAGGGAAAGGACAATAAACTTTATTTCTGAAAACACCTCCTAGAAACTGATGAGCGGTGTCGTTGATGTGTCCCAGCTTTACCCACCAGCCCTGCCCCACATGTGTGTGTGTGTGTGTGTGTGTGTGTGTGTGTGTGTGTGTGTGTGTGTGTGTGTGTGAATTCCTGGGCAATCTGGCTTACTCATCTGGCTCACTCACCTGGAGAGCAGGCCCGTCTGGTGGCATGAGTCTGGTCCAAGAGGTTCCGGGCCTCCTCATCCACCACATCCAGGAGGGACTGGACAACTTCTGCTTCCTGGCGATCATCGTAGCTGTCATCACCCTGCGAGTCAGAGTCTGGAAAAACAGAAATTTGTTTTAAAAGCACTGATGTGAGAGAGGAGGCATGCTGGCGGCTTAAGTGTCGCTCTGGAAAGGAGGCAAGGCCACCTAGACCTTTCAGTCTGGAATTAGGTGAGCTGCCTGCTGCGACAACCACGCGCTTGCAGCCTACAGTGACAAGTGAGTCAGTCTGGCAGATATTAACAATCTGATGCTTATTTCATAACATTAATGGCAAGTTATGGGTTCATGAAAGAGATGCTATCTTTGAAGATGAGGGATATTAACAGGCCATATAGAATATCGTCAATATAAAATTTCTAGACCATTTTGCAGTCTGTGGAGACTGTACACAGGAACATGAAATACAGAAACTGTCTTTCCAAGCTCTACCTCAGCTCATCTTTGGAGATGAGAACGGATGCTGGACATCTGCGCAGTAGGCAATCAGCAGTACTAGTTTTATATTATCTCATTCTTCTCATTTCGTCAAAGTCTTCCCTTTTAAAAGCTGCATTAGCATGTGAGGTGGCAGAAGGGGAAAAGTGACCTGCTTTTGTTGCTGAACTTTTAGATCATTTACAGTGACTGCGATGGCTCATTTGAAAACTACCTTTGGCTTCGGTCAAGTCCGTTGACCCCGACATCTGAGCAGAAGGGCGTTTTCCTCCTGGGTGCACAGCCTCAGTGACTTCTTCCCCATTAACCTGAAGTACAAGACCACGGCAATCACCACGTTACTGTTGTGCTCACTTCTGGGACTAGCGGACTGGGCGTGGCTCCTCTCTCCACCTGCTCAGCTCAACACTCCCGTTACATCTTTGCACCTTGCATCTTATTACTAGGAAACATCTGTGGAGTGTGCAAAGTGGATGGGAGTGCCCCTCACTGAACACATCTGGAATTGTGCTATTTCTTAAAATAACTGCACTACACAAAAAGCTCTTACTCGAGACATGCTTTATGAGAACAGCTTAGAAAAGTCTAAGGATTATAAAAGCCTAGAAGTGGAAAGAAAGGAGGAAAACTATTTTTGTTCTTTTTTTTTTTTTTTTCCCTTTTTTTCAGATAGGGTGTTGCTGTACAGCACAGGGAAGCCTCAGACTCATGCCCCTATTACTTCAGCCTTCTTAGTGCGGAGATACACGTATGTGCCACCATTCTTAGACTTTCCAGTGTGGCCTAACAATGCAGTTTATGGACACAACAAAGGACTGATGACTATGTAATTTTTATACATCTACTGAACTGAACGCAGCATTCCAGTGCAGCCACAGACTGTGACGCACTTTAGGAGCACAGCCTGGAAGGACGGACAACATTGCTGCTGTGGAGCTAGGGTTGTGCACAGCTGTTCAATCCCCAGCAGTCTGTAAAAGGACATGACTTCCGGGTTAGGGACAGGGCATGTGTCCATTTCTCCTCTCACACAGAGGCCTGCGAAGGGCCTGTGCACACTGCCACAGTCTTCATGAGTCCACACGTGTGTCAGTCCTCCTTCGTTTAGATGGCCTTGCTTCCTTGGTGACCTCCGTGCCCCTGGCTCTTAGAATTTTCCTACCCCCTCTTCCCAGGATTCCCCGAGGGGAGCGATTTCATGGAGACATCCCACTTGGAACTGAGTGTTCTAAGGTTTCCCACTCTCTCTCCAACTGTGGGTCGCCGTATTTGCTCTTCTCTACTGCGGGAGGAAGCTTCTCTGATGATGGCTGATGAAAAACTGATCTATGCGTATTGCAGAAGGTTATTAGGAGTTATTTTATGGCCACATTCCATTAGCAGAACAGTAGCATTTGGTTTTCCCTAAGTCCCTGGCCTATCTCATCTGCAGTTCTGTGTCCAGGTGAGAACCTCTCACAAATGAAAAAACTGGTTCACTCCAGAGTCTCGCTGGGGTACAAACCACTTTTAAGGCCAGGCCCAGGGCCAGCAGTAGATGGACAACACAAAATGAGCTCAGCGGCATCTTTGGAGGCTCTTTGTCTCATAAAGTTTTGACAGGGCCTTACAAACTTTTATTTTATTTTATCTTACAGGTCATTTTCATATACATTATGGCTTTTGGTTTGTATTTTTAAAAGATTCTAGGGTATGCAAACATATGTATCTCATGCTTTTTCTTTGGCTCTCTTCCGTTTGTTTGTTTTATCTTATTTTGTCATTATTCTCCAGATGCCTGTGAGAGACAGGAAGATTTGGATTCTGATAGGAGGGAAGGTGGGGTTAATCTCGGAAGAGTCGGGGAGGGTAAACCATGATCAGAATATACTGTATGGGAAACATCAATGTTCAATAAGAAAAAAGAACAATAATAATTAAAAAAGAGAAAAAAAGGTAAATTTGGATAAACTGTAGAATTAAATGACTAAGTCACAGTGAGCGTGAGCTGAGGTTTGCTCTGAAGGCCTAACTCTTTTACTGAGAGGTTAGATACGACCCAGGTACATCTCCTCAGCTGCTGATGTAATGCTCAGTGGTTGTGAAATCCCACTTCCCATGAGAAACCCGAAGTCTGGGCATCAGTGCTCAAGGTCAGTGTTGTCAAGGAGACCTTGTGGAAGATTTCAGTTCCAACAGGAAAGCTGGCATCCACAACAATGAAAGTCCTCATTTCTACGGTTTGATGTTAATTCAACAGAAACTCTACACTTGTTCATTTCAGCACACTGCTCCTTAAAAAGAAAACAAACGTTATCCAGCACGAGTAATGGTAGAAGCCGTGACCATTCAGCTGCTGAAGCTCTGGGAGGCTCAAGAGCTGGATCAACAGGAAGGCAGCTCAGCCACAGTGCAGAGCCAACACAATGCACAAACACTACGGTGGAGCTACAGCCACTCCTGCCTGACATCATTCCTGCCTCAGCATGCTTCAGGACTTCTGTGTAATGTGTGTGCCATGGTACGGCCTGGTGTCAGGAAGACACAGGATGGGGCTTTTGCTTACTGTACACATTTCCTTCTTCAAAACCCAGCTCGTGTCCAGGAGATGGTGTGATTCTGTTCAGATTACTACAGAGCAAACTGTTTTACATGGAAGATACGCCTTTTAAGTTACATGAGCAGACACCTGAATAGTGAGAGTTGGACTGGACTTCACGTGATGAGTGTAGGACAAAACAGTTCCACAGAGTACAAATCTAGCTCTGATCCACTCAGAAAAATTACAAAGCATGGAAGGAAGAAAATAATAAAAATAAACACTACCCAAACACACAAGGGCACTGAGAGAGAGAGAAAGAGCAGAGGTAAACTCACAAAGGATCTGAGACTTGGCCAAACTCCTGCAGATGCCTCTGTGCTAACACTGAATGGTTCAAGATCTCATTTTCTTATCTGGCAAAACATGCACAAGGCTTTACAAGAAGCAAAGCTCTTTCTTTAGCTTTCACTGTTGCTCCTTACCGGGGTTATAGGTTTAGCCTTCTCAGACTCCCTGTGGCTAGTACTAATCCAAAAGGACAGCTCTGCAGCTAACCACACTCCTCCTGTGGTCCAAGGCGGCTGAAGGAACCGTGCACACTAACTAAGCATCGGCAAGTCAAGTCTCGGCCATAAAACAGCTAGCGTGCCAAAGGGTGCAGCTTGAGGCCTGTGCTGTGGGTTCCCTTAGCAAAGCCTGTTAGTTCACCACAATGGAGGTGACCGTTAGCGTATGTGTCTTCAGAACTTTGAATGAGGAAACCAATCTGGTATGAAGCGCAAGCTCATTGGTTATTAAAAGTAGCTATGACATGAAAGGAGGGTTTTTTTTTCCTTGCCTTGGAGAATGAATTCTTAGGCGTGAGTGCGGGCTGTCCACAGGGCTCCATACCGGAATGGCCTGAAAGGAACAACACAGAACAGTATGTGAGACAACTGAAGTTACAAGAGAGACAGGGAAAGTGCTCGAGACACACAGCGCTCGCTGAAGGTGCAAATCAGTGAAAACTTCTGATGGGAGTCGGTAGATGCGCTGGCGGGATCAGCCAGGTGAGTGCTGACACCAAGACTGATAGAGCCTGAGATCTCACTTCTGCAGGCTGTGTGTGGCGTCACATACACACACACACACACACACACACACACACACACACACACACACACCATATAATACACACAATAAGTCAGTGTGAAAATTTTAAGGAATCCTGATCCATATAAAGTAATTAAAGAAACCCAATATTTCTAAGGATGCTATCTGTAATTGTATGAAGAGAGGTCAGAATACACATGATACAAACCAAGCAAGCAGAATAAAATATTTTGAGAAAGTTTAACTTTAAAAAAAGGGCAAAGCAAAACAAAACAAAACTGAAACCAAAAAACCGCATTCAGATTCTTTTTATAGGTCCGCCCACGGCCTAGGCTGGCCTCCACATAAGGATGCCTGACTCAATCCTCTTGGAACTCTTGGAAGTACTAGAATTAGGCGTGTACTGCCACGCCAAAGGTAGGGAAACCAAATCCTTAAGAGAAAACAGTTCACATAGAAGCTGATTTGGAGCCAGGCAGTATGGTGCCACCTTTAATTGTAATACCCAGGAGCCAGAGGCAGGTGGATCTCTGAGTTCAAGGCCAGCCTGGTCTACAAAATTAGTTGCAGGACAGCCAGGACTACACAGAGAAACCCTATCTTACAAAGAAAAAAAAATAAAAGTCCATCTGGAGCCAGATAAACTGCATCTATCTGCAGAGGCGGTAAAGACAACCACAGCTCTTCCCTGTCTGTCATCAGGCTAGCATGTGAGACAGATACCTGTTTGCACAGTCTCAATTCCACAACGCCCAGCTGGGTCCCTGTCACAGAGGGCACATTTTGTAAGTATCCACGAGAGCCTCACCACGTCAACATCAGTAGGACTGTACTGACAGGAAACAGGGCTCATATGTGATTGGGACTTTCTAAGGACACAGCTTCGGGTCCACTGCACTATGCATTTCATCATCTGCTCTGCACTCCTATTTTTCTAATATACATAGATTTTCAAAGAAGTTATCACTTAAATAGACTGTTTTCACTTAGTCTGGAAAAACATTCTAGAAACTGAAGAAAAAGAACTTAGTGACCACACCCAACTTGCTGTCCAGGAAGAAAGCCACGTTGACATAAGCCCTGAAGGTAAACGTGTCTTTCCTACCGTTGGCTTTGGTGGACTTGGGTGCTGAAAGGGCGGACCTCGTTGAACTAGGCACCACGGGGCAGCCGTCTCTGCAGGACAGACAGAAAGGGCGATTACAAAGGTTTCAAGCGGCTTCAACACCCTTAGGGCCACGTTTTAACTGTTTCAGAAGCTCCACTTTTCAGTGCTGAGTCCAGGTACCCAACAAAGTGTAGACAGGAGTTAGTGGAACGAAGGCTTCCTGTGTGTCTGTGACCCCAGTGCTCCCACAGGGAGATGGAAGGCGGACGCAGGACAACCCAGCAATCCCAGAAACTAACAGGCCGTCCCGCTGCCTGCAACAGGAAGCCCTCTCACAAACAAAATGGGAAGTGTGGGTCTGCCCCCTGTGCCCACACCACCTCCTTCACCTCACAAAGTTTTCTTCTCAGTCCAAGAGGGCCTCGGGCTTATTCTGTGGCAAGGTTATGTGAACTGAGAGCTCCTTGCGCTGGTTCCCAGGGCGGGAATCACAGGTGTGCAGCACACTCAGCAAGCACTGCTGTCCTTAGTACTATTGGTGTTGACAGAGCTCGAGGCTGAACTCAAGGCCTCGACCTCTGAACTGCTCTCCACGCAGAATTAACTTCTCCGCATGATCTTTCTTCAGGTTCCAGTCCAGCACATGACCCTCGTGCCCCTCCCATCACACGGGAATTGTGAGGACCAACAACGTACTTCAGTGTCATTCAGTGTGCAGGTGCTAACTCAGAAGGAACAGTTTACAAATTTTATATCTATAAGCCCTTGGCATGAGCATGGTTTTCTTCTAGAGTGAAAATAAAGGTGAAAAAAAACAAAAAAACAAACTTTAATCTTAGAATCAATGCTACTCAAGGTCAAGAGCAGCCCCACAGGGAGCACACTGGGAATGGGACAGGCCATCTTACAGATACTTGAGGGACACTGTTGGCAGACACACTAGGTCACACTCCCGAAGCCCACAAAGTCCTTATGTCTTTAACACAGGCTACTTCAAGCTTATGCTTGCAGGGGTGATCCTGAGCGATGTGGCAGCACTTCAACAAACCAACCCAGGTTCTCCTCAGGCCGCTCTGAAATGAGGGCCTCCTGAGGTCTAACAGCAACCTTGTCCGGTGCTCTCCAGTAGAGCCCCAGCTTCTCGAGGGCCTCTGGACACGTGCAGTCCACACCAGGATCGTGAAGCTTGCTGGTGCATCTTCTACTGGAACCCATGCCGTGTTACAGGCTAGGGGTTCGGGGTTGTAATTAATTAGGGTAAACTCTACCCCCTTTATACACAGTTCCTGACATACACAGTCACCACAAACATCTACCCTCCCATTACTGTTCTATTATTTATTGTGGACCATAAAGATGGAGAGAGCAGAGACAGTTGAAGGAAGAACATGGAGGACTTAACTGTGACCTCTGTAGAGACAACAGCTAAGACAAAGACAGAAGAAAGGAACAGAATGTGACTTTAGGACTGAGTTAAGAGGGTTCTCCTAATTTTGAGGTAAAACATTCAACCTGTACTTAAGCTTGGCAGTGATGTTAATTTCCACAAAAATATTTTCTCCTTCTCATTTATTCCCATTCACTGAGGAAAACAACTGTGTGTCAACCCATAGAGATTTAGGTAAGGGATTAGGGGGAATAAAAAGCAAACAACCTAAAAAGATCAAGCAGGTTTATCAGTGATTTTAATAATACATTTTTATTTTGAAAGAAATGATTCATAGACATAACTGTCCATTTCTCCTTCACAAAGCTTGGCCTAGTCTCCAGTCTAGAAAACCTGGATTCATGGGCACCGTGGGAGGCAGATACGTTTCCCAAAGATATCAGGACTCTCAAGATTATGCTGGAGTCCAGAGAACTGTGACGAAGCCACTTTACAGAGCAAAAAAAATGGGAACTTAACTTGGATTATTAGGACTCTGTTGTCATTGCTGGAGCCCTACCTGGCCAACAATGAGGCAGGAAAGTCAGCGAGCAAGAGAGAGAGACAGAGACAGACAGAGAGACCGGGCAACAGAAGCAGGTTCATGGCAGGTGCTGCCTTTGAACATGGAGGGGGCGAGAAGCCAAGGAGAGCGGTAAAGGCAAGAAGACTGGATTCCTGCAGAAGGAGTGGAATCCCGTGGACACTTTGGCTTTATCCCAGTTTGAGCCATTTATATTTCTGACCTCCAAAACTTCATATGATAATCCTGGTTGTTTAGAGTAATGTTAGAGAAGCCATAGGAAATCAGTCCCCAAGCTTTCTTATCAGGTTTCTTCCACAAGTGAAGGAAGCTGCTCTAGCATTTAATGCTGTGGGCATGGCTCTTCTGGGCCTCAACAGCTGATGTGAGTTCTAGAGTGCTGATTCCACCCTAGTTCTGCGAATGAGGCATGACCGCCCAAAGCCATCTGGTTTACTTCTCTCGTCTGCTGCAGTCAGAGACTGGCCCTACTGTAGGCCCAAGAACACAGTTATCTGTGGTGGCTGTGGAGGTTTCTGCTTCAAGATGGCTCTAGATGGTGAAACCATCACCTGACCACCACAGACACAACTGATTCAACAGGAATGGCAAAAAGGAACCTGATGACTTAGACAAACCAATAAATTCCCTTTCTTGGCCAAAGAGAACTGAGCTTTATTTCAGTCACTCGCCATTGAAGACATTCTGATATGTGCTAATTGTCCGTTAACTGGAATCCTGAAGAAGTACTTACCTGCGTGATTTCTTATACTCTATCAGGAACTCCGTTCTAAGGTTCGCTGGCTGTGAATTAGTAATTGTGTCATGCCCATAAGGGAATGCAAGCATAAGCAAAGACCTGAACTACACACACACACACACACCCCAAAGCTGTCTGTAAACTATTGCCCAGTACCTTGTTGCTTTCAGCACCACGGAAGGAAGTGACAGGTCCAGCGCTCTGTTGGCTTCTTCCAAGGTCATCCCCTGTGTGCTGAGCCCGTTCACGTAGTGGATGATGTCTAAGAGCTGGAGATTACCGTCTACAGCTGCAGCTGACCTGGGGTTAATGTCGCTAATGTACACCACTCCGTGCGCACTGCCCTGCCCTCCAGACAGAGAAAACCCTTCAAGGAACAGAAAGCAGTTACTTCTCAGTCATGGAAGTCTTACGCTTACTTATGCCACGAAGGTCATACCGGAAAGCCTGCGCCTCTCTTACCTAAGTCTTCTCCATGGCACGTTACTGTGATGTCAGGCAGCAAGTGGGGGAACACGGGCATCCTGGGCACCTCTAGAATCCGCCCGAGAACTAATCTGACTGTCTTGGGTGCAGCTCGCAGCAGATTCACGGCATCAGTGTGCGTCATGTCTGTAACATCCGTACCATTAACCTACAACACGAGAGAGGCACGCTAAGGTTGACGTTCAGAACTGGAGATCTGATCATAAAGTGTATCAGCCGGTAGGAGATTTATGGTGACGTAGTCTCTAATGTATTAGAAGTCCCTTCCCTGTAGAAATTATAGGGACAGTGGTCAAGCCATTATGAGCAACATAAAGTTCTTGACAAATAAATGCATACGTCGCTGCCCTTGAGAACCTAAGAAAACTTGCTGTCTCGTGGACTTGAGAGACCCTGAAGAGATTAAAAGGACTTTTGGTTTAAGAAGCAACTTGAAACAATCCCAAAGAGCTATGTATATAAAGGCTGTAGGGAGAATGATCTTCTGACCCTCCTGCTCCCACATCCCAACTGCTGGGATAATGGGTTCTCGTCACCATGCCAGGTTTATGTAGTGCTGGGGCTTGACCCAGGGCTTCATGTATGCTACACACTGATGGACATACACACACACACACACACAACCAATTGAACTACATTCCTAGTTGTGCCCCCGGCCCCCTTTTGGCAATAGGGAACTCATGTGGAACTCATTATACAGTCAAGCGTGCCCTTGAACTCCTGATCCTTCCACCTCTATCTCCCAAGTGCTGAGATTACAGGCATGTGCCACTCTGCCTTGCTAATGCTTTTGTTTTTAAAGCAGTGGGGAATGAAAGCACACACCAGAGAAACATGTCATATTAACTCAGCCTCCTTCCCGGGGGCTGATCTGCTCTTTGTCACTCCTTTGGCCTGGATGCGGCTGAAGTTTCTTTTCCTAAGACTCCTGTACTGGCGGCTAGGTCCTCTGTGTGACAGCGGGGCCTCTGAGTGGGGAAGTCTGGTCAGTACACTGGCTACACTGGAGGTAAGAGTGCAGAAGAAGCAGCAGGACCCCAGACTTTCTGGCAGCCCCCCACACAGGTATGACACCTTCACTAGGGCTTAGCTGCTGATGCCATGTCCTTAAAACTCCCTCACTGTGAGCTAATTAAACTTCCTTTCTTTTTACAGTTGCCTCAGTGAAGGCATTTCACGACAGTAACCGAAAAGTGGACTGAGACAAGTCACACTTGTGTAAATGTCCCCTTAAATGTCTCACTTTAAAAATACTATTCTATTTTATGCACGTGTTTTATCTGCATGTATGTCTCTGCAACACTTGTGTGCCTGATGACTGCAGACGTCAGGAGAAGGAGTTGACTTCCCTGGAACTAGACTTACAGATAACTGTAAACCAACATGCTGGTGCTGGGAATCAGACCCAGGGCCTCTGGAAGAGCAGCTTCCCCTGGAAGTCCTCTTAAACCACTGAGCCATCCCTCCAGTCCCTAAATGTCTCACCTTTATAAGCCGATCTCCAGGCTTCAGCCTCCCATCACCTTTGGCTGGGTCCTGTATGACATCATGGACGTAACAGCCAATGCTCTGGCTGCCTTTCGTCACCGTAAAACCCAGGCTTCCTTTTTCTGATTTAATCAGGGTAATGAGAAGCTCTACTTCCTAGAGAAAGAACACAGACTGACATGAGCTGGTCTGTTCTGTCCTGCAGACACATGAATACTGTTGCCTTCAGTTAAAAGGAAAAACCCAAATCGTCACTTAACTTGGCCAAGTCAGGTCTTTTCAACTCTAGATACAATGTTCCTTTCTCTCCAAGCATGTGACATATTTTGAAGCATAGAGTTATTATGTGTTTGTTTCAAGAGTCCTTCCTTCCTTCCTATAAATTTTTTTTCCTATCTGGAAGAGCTGGGATTGGATGTAGAGCCTCACACATGCCAGGCAAGGGTTCTCTCTCTCCAGAGCAAGCCTTGTATATCCAGGATAAACAAGGAGGCAAAGTGATTACACGCTGATCATCAAAGGGGAAAGTTTAGAAAAATCCTTCACATTTTAAAAAAATAAGATAGAAGCCAAGAGATACAAAAGGAAACTATTGTTTATTGTTGTTTTTGTAAATATATTAAGTATCTAGATGATTATGAATGAAGGCTTCATCTATTAAGATGCGCAACAAATTCAAAAGATTTTGGCTTTGAAGGTGAGGACAGACTTTACTGCTAATAATTAAACTGAAAATGTTGATGTACACCTACTCATCTTCTACCTATCTCTCTCACACACACAGAAGCACAGACACAGGCATGTTCCCGTACACACACACACACACACACACACACACACACACACACACACACGAGTCCACAACATGATTATAGGAAAATGAAAATTATGAAAAGCCTACTTTGGTCCAAAAGCTTCTTCTTACTTGTTTTATGATGTTTTAACATAACAAATTATTACCTGGCTAATAAACAGAGGGCAAAAGCTGACTTTCAATTCATATAAAAGAATTATCATTCTTAACATTTTCCTAAGCTTGATTTGCAGGCTAAGAAATTTTAAAGCTTTAAAAAAAGTGTGTGTGTGTGTGTGTGTGTGTGTGTGTGTGTGTGTGTGTGTGAGTTAAACTGGGGAAAGGGTTAAACCCTCCCAGTTAAACTGGGAGGGTAGGGCTGATGGGGAGGTGGGCAGAGAGGGCTAACCAACACTGAGGCTGTTGAAAGGCCATATGAGATCTACTATCTTATGAAGTCATGTGTGTATGAACTTATTTTTATATTAAGAAAGAGTTTAATTGGAATCACAGAGGATAAAATACTTCTTCCGGAAGTCATAGGCTGTCAAATAAAAGTGTGGGCATATGTGCCCATGAGTTGATTGCTTCCTATTCATGTCCCAGAGACCCCCAAACAACAAAAGCGTTTGCCACGGCTCTCAGTTACCCACCGGAACTTCACAGTAAGATCCAATTGCTGAAGACACCATACGCCTTAGGCACAGGACATAGACCAAGCAGGAAGCTTCTTCCCTGCTGCCTAGCTTTCAAGGTACTGAAAGGTGCCGTGCAGGCTGCCGGGGGCTTATCCAGCATGAACCCTGTGAGTTATAATTGTGCCCAGCAGGGCAAGCTACAGTACCCTGAGAGTGGCCCAAATGTTGAGGGGGTAGCCGTGCTCACTGACTGAATTTGGGGCTCCTCACTGGGAGATGCATGCCCAGGGCTGTAAACTCGGCCAGGAACACAGGACTGGAGAGTTTACGGGCTCCAGGTATCAACCTATGAGGATTATTTTGGTAAACAGACAATCTGCCTTCTAAATGTGTTAACTCAATACCTAAATATCAGCGAGCTTTAAACCTCATCGGGGAGGTTTCTCCGTACAGTGAAATGTAGATATTTACAGCTGCACAGAATACGGAGACTACGTGTGAGGAGTGTTCAGAAACAAACAGGACACCTACGTTATAGCCCTGCTTCCCCAAGGTTCCAGGGACACTGTGGAAGGCTGTGTGTGTGTGTGTGTGTGTGTGTGTGTGTGTGGACACGACAGGAGCACAGTACCCATGAACTCATGGCAGCTGTGGTAGCCTGCCCAAGACTTGTACAAGATTAAGCCAGTCAGCACTGCAGCGTAGGTGAGGGAGGGACTCCTAAGGCCCACCCCTAGCTGAGAAGACATAGACAGTTGGCGGGGGAAGGGGAGCCCACTTTCTTTAAGGGTGTGTCCACTGCTGAGTCAACCATGCCACAAAGGGTGGCCCCTCTTCCATGAGTCCATGGACAGCACAAGCTGACCTCGGTGGGTTATCTACAAAAACAGAGGGGTACTTGAGCTTGGGTAGAGATAACTATGAGGGTGTATGTGGGAGAAGTGAGCGTGGGAAGAATAAAGGGTGAATGTGTCAGAATACATTTCATGCAGGTATGAAATTCTCTATTTTTGGTTATTAGCCTATAGTGGCTAAGCCATCTTTCCAGCCAAACTGTCAACCAGGAAGCCTGCATGGGACTGACCTAGGCCCTCTGCACATTACAGATGTGTAGTTTGGTCTTCTTAGGGGGCTCCTAACAGTGGGAGCAGGGACTGCCTCTCACTCTTGTTGCCCGCCTTTGGGACCCTTTTCTCCTACTGGGCTACTCATATAGCCTTAACAGGAGAGAAGGTGCCTAGTCCTACTGTAACTTGATATGTCGTGGCAGGTTGATAAACAGCGGAGGCCTGCCCTTTTCTGAAGAGAAAAGGAGGACTGGATGGGGAGAACGGAGGGGCAAAAGGAGAAGTGGGGAGGGGGAGGGATGGAGAGGAGAGGAGAGGAGAGGAGGGGAGGGGAGGGGAGGGGAGGGAGCGGATACTGCAGCCGAGGTGTAAAATACACACGCAAGCAAGCAAACAAAGAAAAGAAATTCTTAAATAATTACAAAGATTAATAAAAAATCAAAATAAGTGGCTACAGAAATGTCTGAGGTCGAACTCTGGTCTCCATATGTATGTAGACACACTATATACCCATGCACACTCATCCACACGTGTGTGTGCACACTCATGCATACACACGAAACCAATAGGGGAGTCACAGAAATTCGAGAGATAAAAATAACAACAAGCATCTATCTGTGGCAGTGTCTAAGCACTGTGCTAGTGTTATACTCGGTCCTTCACATAATTACTTCCAGCCTTCTGGAGCAGCAGCCCAGCGGACAGCCGAAGCTACCAGGAATCACAGCAACCAGGTGACTTGTCTGTGGGTGTCTGCCAGAAGGCGGTGAGAAAGTCGGGGTGACACACAACACTTTCTCTTCCCCTAATTTCTCACCAGGAAAACACCAGAGAGGGATATTATTTATCCATTCAGTAAATGCAGTATAAACGGCTCTACAGCACAGCTGACAGAAAATGCATGTGTCTGTAACTTCACTGGGAAAAACAGAAAAGGTTTTATTGTTTGTGGCACAGAGAAAGCAGCTCACCGGCTCAGAGTCCTCAATGTGGTTTCCCAAGTCATTTTTCAGAGCTGTCAAGTCTTCTTGCTTGTTCAGCGCTGAAGCAAGATGCCTATAGTATTTACCCAGGGAGTCGCAGGGAGCAGGTTCTGACTGGGGCTGGCACATCTGCCCAGGACTGGCATCCGGTGGAGGAGGAGGGCGGCTGCAGGGTGAGAAGCAGCAGTGTTTGTGGGGACAGGTCAGTGCCGACAGTCAGAGAACGGTCAACAGGTGCTCCTGTCTGCTTTCGAGCCTCGCTAGCCTTTATCCGCCTTTAGACCATCTGCTCAGCGCCTACTGTATGTTAGCAATGTTTGTTCTCTGTGCAGGTGCGACTCAGAATAAGCTCTGCAGGCTACGTAAGGACAGTAAGACAGGCTAGAATTAAGTACACTTTCTATTCCTTGTTGTTATTCAAGGTGGATGCTCACGTTACCAGAGATCTAATTCGGATTTCAACCTAGTAAAAAATGAGAAATAAGAACATTTTTTACTTATAGACCTATTTTCCAAAATTGCGGATTGAACTTATGTTTTATTCATGCTGAAAAAGAGCTCTATTATTATCTATTTTATCTATTGCTCTTTAAATTTTTTTTTTAATTTGAGAGGATCTTACAAGGTTGTCTAGACTGCCCTTTAACTCCTTCCTTAATCTTCCAAGTACCTGGGATAATAGGCTGATTCTTGTGGTTACTTTGGTTAAAAGAATAGGAGGGACAGAAGGAGGAAGGAAAGATGGATGGATGGAGGAAGGAAAGATGGATGGATGGAGGGAGGGGAGAAAAAGTAGGCAAGTATGGATGGACATAAATACACACAGACACTAACAAACAGGTGGGACGGCGTGCAGATGTCTTCCACATCTCCTCTTTCCCTGTCTCCTGGTCTTGTAAATCCTCCTGGTCCTCCCCTTATAATTCTAATTTTCCAGAGTATCATTATGCAAATAAATCTCTACTTTCTGGTTAAATTGTATTGAGAAACTGTTTTCTCAGTTACTAATAAATATGCTCAAGAGAGAAGCAAGGGTTAACAGACTGGCTTGACAGCTTACTAGTTTACTAGGATTGTTAGTTATAACAGCAAGGCCTCTGAGAAGCCACTGTTTGCTAACCATGCTGAATCCACAGGCATTACATTCTTCAAAAGTTTTTATTATGTGTTATGTGTGTGTGTGTGCACAGGGGTGCCCTACCCACTGGAGCTGGAGTTATGTGAGGTTATGAGCTGCCTGGCATGAGTGCTAGGAGCTGAAGCAGAGTCCCCTCCAAGCACGGAGCCAGGTCTCCAGCTCACTCTTACAATGGCATATACTGCTGCTGCCATCGCTGCAGCACCAGCTGCTCTGGACACGTGACTGGCCATACCTGCTCCCCAATTCCGCTGCGCTGGCTGCCTTCCGAGGCAGGTAAAACATGGTACATGGGGATTCTTCCCGGCTTCTGGGTGCTTCATGGTGGTTGTGTGCCTGGGATGCCATGCTGCTCGGCGTCTGCGTCACACTGGGTTTCTGTGCTGGAGCTTTCACTGGGTCGTCCTCTCCACTCACGCTGCTGTCGCTGTAACTCTCCCTCCGGGATGGAGACCTGCCCTGTGTCTTGCTTTTGCCAGACACCTCGTTCTCGTCTGAGCTGGTACCCTGCTCCACTGAGAAGGATGACGGCTGAGGAGGCTCTTTGCTGCTGCTTGGAAATGCTTGTGCTGGAGAGTGCAGCGGGGTCTGAAAGGAACAGGTTGAAGGACATCAACAGTCAGAGCAGTCAACTGATGATGAACCTGCCAGGTAACAGTACTTTATACAGAAATATAAATTCCCTGATAATAAACACAATTGATGCTCTTCAAAGAAAAATATAAAATGACCGCTGCTAGCACGGTATGGGTTACATTTTATTTATTACACTAGTTAATTTTTTGTGTATAATGGTGTCAGTGTACAAATGCCACACTGCAGGCGTAAAGGTCGGAGAGCACCTTGGGGTTGGTTCTCTCTTTCACCCAGGGAGGTTCCAGGGATTGAACTCAAGTCCTCAGGCTTGGCAGCAGGGGCCCAGACCGATGAGCCATCCTGCCAGCCCCATTCATACTGTATGCGTGTATGTGTGGGGATGTGTGTTTGTACGCACGTGCATTTGGCACGTGTATGTGTAGGTAAGAGGACAATTGTGTTAAGCCAGTTCTCTCCTTTCGCCTTTACAGGATTTCTAGGATCCGACTGATGTTAGGCTTTTTACAGCAAGTACCTTTACTCACTGAGCCATCTTGCCAACCCAGAATTGGTGTGGTAGCATACACTGTACTTTGTATCCTATTTTCAAAATTCAAGTATTCTATCATGAATGTTTTCTGACTTAAAAAAAACAAACAAACAACTGTTAACATATACTGTTAAGATTTATTCATTATTTTGTGAATATGTGTGCCTGAGGCAGAGGAGAGAGTTGGGTCCTCTGGAACTGGGGTTACAGGCAGCTGTGAGCGGCCTGATGGTTCTGGGAGCTGAACCCAGGTCCTCTGGAAGACCAGCCTGTGTCTGAGCAGCTCTCCAGCTCTTTTCTGAAGTTTTTAAAGTGCTCTGGAAACAACTGTAATTCCTACAGTTCTCTGGAGGGCTGCCTTTGTTTCACCTCCTCTCCTGAGCACAGCTGTTCCACTGACAGAACTCTAGCTGAGTTCTCTGCGTGCAAACAGCCCCACATGGCTTGCCCTTTTCCTGTAATTTTCTACACTGTCATGTACAGGCCATCTTCAAAGGCCTTGTAAAATATTTCCAAATTGCTTTCTAGACATACTCAATCAAATGAAGTATTCCTCAGGAGTGTAACATTCAGTCCATGCAGTCAATGTAGTCTGTGTGTGTGTACTCAGGGGTGTGAGGAGGACAGAAGTAGGCACCAGGGTCCCTGGAGCTAGAGCTGCAGACAGTTTTAGTGGACTCCATAAGACAGGTGTGTGTTCCTTCCAGCCCCCCCCCCCCCCTTTTCTTCAAATGCTACACTTAATTTTAAATACCACTTTGCTTTGCTGTTATGTGCTGCTCACATGACCCCTTCCCCCAGGACACAGGGGAAAGCTCCTGGCTCCAGCTCCTCTTCCTTCCAGACCCCTCCAGTGAACTCATAAGCTGACAGGCCAAAGGCAGACTTTTAGCATATAAGATAACACCGTCCAGTTAAATACTGAGGTGTGAATCCCAGTATATCAACCCACGAGGTAGCACCTGCAGCTGAATTAGGAAACCGCTGTTCTATGAAAATAGAAATCCGCATCCAACGACCTTACCAAAAGCGCAGTATTGATTTCGGGTAGCACGCCAGGTGGGGGTCTGCAGAGGAGCAGGTACACTTCTGGAGCTGTTCCCCTGAGAGCAGATATGACTTCCTGGAGGCGCGGGAAGGACGATGAGGTTAGGCCGGAAGGAAGTGGAGAGCTGGCACCCACCCGCCCAGCTTCAGGTCACTGAAATGCTGCCCCTGCCCCAAGCTCCCAGTTCACCTGCTGAGACAGTCCCTTCAGTGAGGCCCCATTGACTTTCAGTATAACATCGCCAACATCAATCTTCCCACTTTCTGCTGCTGGCTGTCCAGGGAAGAGCTTCTTAACCCTTACTATGCTGGCATTTATCTGTTCCGGTATAAGATTATCTTCTCTAGAAAAACTGAATCCTAGGCCGGAGCTATTTTTAAACAGTTTGACCTCAAATGTGTTATCTAGAGGAAAAAAAAAAAGTGAAACATTATTTCGCTATGTACATATAACACACAGAGAACATACTCTCAGACATGCTTTGAACAAAGCCTGCTTCGGCTTTCACCAACACTGTCACGTTCTCTCCCTACTATTAAGGAAACTTTTCTTACCTTCTGATCTGTGTGTGATGTGGGCAAGTGTGGGCCTGTGTGAGTGTGTGTACAAGGGCCAGAGGTTGATGTCAGGTGTTACCCTCTACCTGTTGTCTGTTATGTTTTATTTCTTGAGATGGGGTCTTCCACTGTTCCTGGAGCGCACTGATTTGTTACTTGGCACCTGTTGAGAGGTGCCCAGCATGCCCGCTTTTGCAGGGGTGCTGGGCACACTTGCTTTGCACACACCTGACTGACTGAGCCATCTCCCCAGCTAATGAAACTTGAGTGAACTGAAGTGAGCTGCTAGAAAGGGAAGCGTGGCTAAGCGAGGGTCAGAGGGAAGCTGTGTGTCAGTGTCAAGTACTTTCAGAGGAGCACACAAGAGTAAGGTGAGAAAGGGAGCGGAGCATTACAAGAAAATTCAGGTATACCACGAAGAGGGATGTTCCCCAAAAAGGCTAGCCTGGGGTGATGGAGGGTGAGTTGATACTGCAATGCTTTGGTGAAGCCCAATTTAATCCAGGTAAGTTATAATGACATTCCAACGCAAGTGAAATACATGAATAAAATTAAAACCAGAAAAAAATGTACACATTTAAAGAAAGAAGGAAAGAAGGATATGATCAAGTAGATACACGCCTTTAAATTCAGTGTCAAAACAGAAATGTAGGTGGGTCCATGATCTGGACTGATACAGGGTCACTAAGACTTGTGACATAAACAGAAATTTAAAAAGAAAACATTTCCTGACTCAGCAATTCTAAAGTAAGAACACTCGAAACGCTTGAGGGATCTCAGAGCAGCGGGCACGCCAGGGTTAACAACACACCGCCTCGCCTCAGGTGGACTCATTAGGCACCAGCCTTCACCTCGTGGCTCCTTAGCACTTATTATCACGTCTATATAAGCTGGCACATTTTAAGAAGACCAGTACTTGGGAAATACTCAATAGATTCCTGTTCAGGGAAATCTTAACTGTAGAAATAAAAAATCCATAGCAAGGTGTGACTGCATGTGCCTGTAATCCCAGCACTTGGGTGTGATTTCATGTACCTGTAATCTCAGCACTTGGGAAACAAAGGCCAAACAAGGTCAATTTGAGTTATGGAGTTAGAGCATGTCTCAAAATCAAAACCCAAAATGAAACAAAATTTAAGAGCAAGAAGGTTTGAAGCCATCATCCCATTATATAGACATTGTGCCTTACCACATCTCTCTTAAAATTTAACAACTAGCCAGGTGTGGTGGTGCACATGTCTAACCCCAGCACTCAAGAAGGCAGAGGCAGGGGGATCTCTGTGAGTTCGAGGCCAGCCTGGTCTACCTTGTGAGTTACAGGACAGCCAGGGCTACACAGAGAAACCCTGTTTTGCAAAACAAAAAAATAAATTAAGAACTATATATTGTAACTGTTGTATATTTGAGGTGAGAGGGCTACACTTTTATTAATGAGCCACGATTCATGTCTCAACAAACTAAACGAACATTTCAGAATATATTATTACAGTGTATAATCATTGAAGCTATTTAAGGTATTATTAAATGACCACATTCAGACATGACTTCACTGCCCTGAACCTTCCAGTGTGTGCTGCTCAGCCTGGTGCTGCCTGAGTTCTGTAACTGACAAGAACAGAGATACTCAGGTCTGAATTCTAACTCAACATGTAAAACCCACAGTCTGAAGAGGCTAAGAATTTTAATGGCGTGACCTGAACCTCAAGGCCTGACCTTCAGTGACAAAGCTGTAGTCTTTGACATAAGCTGTTCTCTTCACCGTCTTTTCTGGAGCCGGGCCTTGGGCCTCGTGGTCTGTGGGGGCGCTCAGTGGGCTTGCAGGGTCGTGTTCTCTGGGTGCTGCTGACTGACCTTTTTCTAACAGCAGATGAACCACCTGAGAAAGTGGGACAGCACATCGTTAACTGAGAAGAAAGATAACCTAGGTCAATCTGAGGACTCTGTAGTTAGAGGTAAAATAAAGCAGCTAACAGCCTGGTCCACAAAAATATGGGCAGAGAGAAAAAATAACATAGGAACAGAAGAAGGAAACTGAAGGTCTCAAAATAAAATTTTTTATTATTTTCTGCATGAAAATAAGAGAAAAGGCTATTATAAAACACGTCTAATAAATACAAATGTGTGTGCGCGTGCACGAGCATATTACAGATAATTTTGGGGGAAAAGTCATCAGAAAGTAAAAGACAGTTTTAAATAATTTGGTCAACTCCTGATCAAAAGGTATTTGAATACAATGAATCTAACTTTTGGGCTGAAGAATTATAGGAATAAAAAATCATTAGAAATTTGTAGGTGTTTATGAAACAATTAAAAACGCAACCTCCGCCACTTCCCATCAGGCCATTGGCTAAAGCTGCCATTGGCAGAGGGTCAGCCTCCTCAGTGGAGAATCGTCTCAGAAGACTTGCTTCCTGCCTTGCAGGGGCCACACGGAGTGCTAGGAGGCTGCACGATGGCCTGGCTTCCTAACTGACAGGGCCAGCGAGCCTGGGATTACGTCCTCATTGCTGAGTTCTAGGATCACAGCTGGCTGATGTAATGACTCTTACCTGTCCTGTGTTTCTTAATATTTCCACAGCGTGCTTGTGGGTAGCTCCCTCCAGACTTACTCCATTGACAGCGAGCACACGGTCACCTGCAACTCAGGAAGTTGGTTTCAAGTGAATCACAAATAAACATTCTGTAGGGTCTTTAATGCCGAGTTAATTCCTACTAATTAGGGGAGACTCAGACAGATGCTGGGGAGAACTGAATATTGAAAAGGTATTCCTGATCATCCAAAAGGACGTGGGAAGGAAACACTGTTAAGGTCAGCGGATGTAAGAGTGAGACCCTTGCCCTGTCCAAGCTGGCCGTGACTCGCTGCCCCCTGCCTCGGCTTCCCAAGTGCAGGACTGTAGCCGTGCACCACCCACCTGGCTAGAATAACATGAATTTATAGCAGCACACTTAAATCACGAAGAAAGAGAAGCAGAACTATACAAGCACACTCTGAAAGCATGCTGCCAGCGAGCTCTTAGAGATAGTCTGTGACGCCCCGCTTTCACTGTCGCCCCTCTGACCAGCACAATGCTGTCGACCACAGTAAGAGGCCACGGAATCCCTCAGCCACTTTCTGCTAAGGCATAGGCTGGGGTGAGCCTTGCTTGTGGCATATATATATATATATATACTTTGCTTTAGATTTTCTTTATTCTGAGTGCTTTGCCTGCACATCTGTCTATGCACTGAACGCATGTCTCGTGCCTGAGGAAGTGATGGGCCTCTGTATGATGCTGGGAATTGAACCAGGGTCCTCTGCAAGAACAAGTGCTCCTAACTGCTGGGCCAACTCAACTTTCCAGCGCACAGATTTTAAAATGGAGCTTTAAGGCTGAGCATGTTCTTGTGTGACTCTGAAACTCTGTAATTCTTCTCTCTTCTGGGATTCTGGGACAGGGTCTCTCTATGCGGCCTTGGATGACCTGGAACTCACCGTGGGGAGCCCTGAAATCTCAAGAGATCTGCCTGCTTCTGCCGCCCATGTGCTGGGGTTAAAAGCGTGCACCAGCACACTTGGTCTTGATTTCTCATTTTCTGTGATATCTGTGCATGTGATTTCTGTTTCCAAATAGACATCATACCTCTGTGAATCCTGCCATCTGACTCTGCCGCTCCTTTGGGAATAATGGCTTTCACATAAATGCCACCATGTCGGACGCTGGTATTCACACCGCCCTACATGGAAAAGACAGAGCAGCGCATGTTGACATGAAAACATCTGCATGCTTCCAAAGCTGAGCACTAGACACGGGTCGATTCAGAGAAAGCTCTGACTCCACACCAGCAGGTTCAGTTAGTTTAGTGCCCGGCAACTGTTAGCCACATACATCCCCCAAACAGCAAAGTCAGTTTGTTCTTTTGCTCCCCTCCCACCTCTCTTTTCTCTCTCTCCCTCTCTTCCTTCCCTCCACCCTTTCCCCCCTCCCCTCTTTATTTAGTCCAGAAATATGCTGTATTTTGACTAGGTAAGGAACTGTTCCAGAAAGCAAAGTCCATCTAAACAAGTTCAGTGTGAGAACATAAATACCAAGAAACAATCAGTGTATATACATTAGGCTGTATCAGTGAATCTGAGAGCAAATCCCTGGAGTTAAAGCAGCTTTTATCTTTAAAAGAGGCCTAGGGTGGTGGAGCACACCTTTAATCCCAGCACAGGCAGAGGCAGGTGGAGTTACATGAGGCTTATGAGTTTCAGGCAAGGCAGGGTGACATGGATAGACTCTGTCTCAAAGGACACAACAAAAATCCTAAAACGTCATGTGTGTGTGAGCACATACCCATGCATGCGCAGGTGTACATTCATGTGTTTGCATGTTAATCTAGAGGTCCATGTTGGGTGTCTTTTTTAATTGCTTCTCTAATTTTTGAGGTAGGGTCTTCCTCTGAATATGGAATCCACTGCCTGGGCTGGACCGGACGAGCAGCGTGGGTTGGAATCCCCCTGCCTCCCACAGCTGGGGCACGGGTGTGAGCTGTGCATCCTGTTTTGTTTTGTTTTTCTTTTAATGAATCCAGTGACTCATCTCCCATGCCCTGGGAAGCTTTTAAAAAAATGCTACAGGTAGGATCTAACACATCAGTTTTCTACCTCTTAAGAAATGTATTATTCTTTCACCTTGAAACAGTTGTGCAAATTATTTAAAAAAGGAGCAAAAGAGAAGCACTATATTCTAACCGTGTGGGGAGCTAGGCTTTTGACGCCCGTATGTTACAGTGCTGAGTCAAGCATGTTTTTAACTGCTCTATGTAACAATCAGTAACTCTTAGAATGGACAAGTGAGGAAGCTCAGGAGTTACCTATTACACCGTCTGGAAGACACATGCACAGTTTTGGAATCTCTACTTGTAAGGTTATAGACACACTACAAGGTGGTATATATTTTGGAGAGAATTAGTACCTAGGATGCACTAAAGATGTAGTAGAGAGACAGCATCTCATGACCTCACACATGCAGGCACTGTAGATGTGCGTGAGAAACACCCGCTCATATCATGTTCTGCACGTTATTCTGAAATTAAGCAACTATGGAATGTGTGGAGAACAAGGAATTGCCAATTTTTTTTTTTTAACTGCAAGAAAAGAGTAGAGTACAAATTTTTAAAAAGTTTTAAGATAGTCAAGTTTTAGATCTTGGTGTCCCATCCGAGGCAAAATAACTCAGCTAATGAGTTGGGCTACCGGAAGTTTGCTGCCAGTGAAGAAGAGAAAATGTGAAAACCTTGTCGAACAGTACCGTGACACTTATTCCCAGGCTGTTCTCATTTTTAGCCAGTTCAACCTCAAAGATTTCTCCGGGCTTAGGAGGTGATGCCGAAGTTTTAAAGCTCATTTTGTTGGATATATTCACCGAGGAGAAAGATTCCTTAACAAAGAAAAACAAAGAGGATTTCTAATTAGTCCCAAAATGAACTGTTAGTGGCAACATAGTTTTCGAAGAAAAAACCAAAAATTTAAGCAAGGTATTAGGGAATAGAATGTATCAAAGCCACAAAGGCCAAGACTTTCCAGATACTATCGGGTCAGGGCACTCTTATCTTATTGTTTAGGAAACCAACACCCAGAAGGTGAAGCTGGACAAGGCAGAGGGAACCTAGAACTCAGCGTTGGAAGAACCTCTGCCTGGGGTTCCTCGGTTCCTGAGTTTGAAGTAGACAGAACCCTGCGTCTAAGCCAGTCACCTCACGCTTGCTTCTGCTGTGCCTGCACACCCTACAAACAAAGGAGTGATGGCCGAGCCTATGCCGAAGGGCAGAAGACTCCCTTGACGAACGCTGCATTTCCAGTGAACAAAGCTGCGAGCTGGCTGTCTACTGTCCTGAGTGAGAGCGTACATTCCTACCATTTCTAGAATGAGCTATTTCCACCACTGTTGCTCACCCACTTGGAACTTCGGAAGAACCCTGGTTCTCCATGGCAAATCCATCTGAGCAGTCTTTCAGATACCAAAGTTCTCTTACTGACACATTAAATGTGCGAGCAATGACTTAAATTTTCCGGGATGAAACTTAATCTGAGAGTAGCCCCTCGGGGTTGGTAGTCGGAGCTTCCGACTGCCAGTTGGCATCAACTGCAGCAGCAGTTGGGAGCAAAAAATACAAACCGCTCTTCCTTTCTGGAGTCATGCAAGCATCTTAGTAGGGCACATCACTCTCTAACAGATTTACCTTCTTCTGCTCTGTTCAATGAAAATAAATAAATAACTAAAAGTACCCCGCCCACAAAGCATTAAAATCAAACCATGCCTTTTCTGGTGTTTGATGGTCCTGACTGCTCGTACAGGTGGGGGCATCTGTATCGGAATCAGCTCGGTCAGAGTGCTCGGCTGCATCAGAGACACCTGGCCGGTTAGCTCTGCTTCGGTTACCGTCGGAGGGGGTCTTCTCGGTGACCTTGGACGCTACAGATGGAGATGGGCTGCCATGCTGCTGCTCCTGCCAGCCTCGGTCACCTAAGTGGCTGGCAAAGAAGCCATTGACCTGGCTCTGGGACAAGCTGGCACTCTCGGTCCTGGAATCCTGGGAACTGAGGCTTCCCTCCCGCAGGGCCCCAGAGAGCCCAAAGGGACTCTCTGTGATGTGCCTCAGGGTGCCACGCCGCCAGGGCTGGTCCTCCGCAGGGTCCACAGCACTGTCCTGCATGGAGGATGGCTTCTTCAGGTAGTTTTTCATTCCATTGGCAAAATGCACAGGAGTAGAAGGCACTGAAAGTTCAGATCCAACCATGAGAATAATAGTCAATGACACACGTGCCTGTAAATACACTCACACACAGACACGCCTGTAAACACACACACAGACATACACACATAAGCGCGCACACACACACACACACACACACACACACACACACACACACACACACGTGCTGCATGTGTCCTAGCCAATAGTAGTCTCTCGTTTCTGCCGTGTCTCCTCAGACTGCTCTGGTGAAGCCCTTACTTAAGGTGTCCTTGGTCTCAACTCCAGAGTTCCATCTCCATTCCACATTCTCAAGATTTTCCTGATTCCAGAAATAACTTACACATTTTTAAGTCTCTAAAATTCTTAAGTCTTTTTAGTGAACGGTCTGAGTGCGGCGCTGGGCTGAACCCAGGGCCCACACACGCCAGGCAGGCACGTCACCACTGAGCTGCATCCCTAGCCAGCCTTTGGGTCCTATTTAGTGTGTGCCAGCTTCATATTATCCTGGCAGACTAGTTTGGGGCCCTTGCCTTTTTGTTTTATTTCATCTTATTTATTTTTGAGGGTATTGAACTTAAACCTAGGCACCTGTGAATACAAATCTCTTCTCTCCCACGGAGGCACAGCTCAGCTAGCCTGTGTATTCTGGGCTCCAGGTGACACTGCAGAAGGGCCATCTACACACAGTCCTCACCAATTCACTTACGAGAATTACAGACGTGAATTGATAAAAGTTTTAAAGTTTTTAAATAGTGACACCAAAAATAAAAGTAAACAAATTATGAGCAATCAGCAAGCAAAAGTATTTTTCAACAACAAAAAAAATCAAAGCTATAAAAAAAAAAAAAAAAAAAAAGACCCCAAAACTCCTAAAGAACACAGGAGTAATATATGAACAGGAATCTAAAGAAGAATTCAAATAAGTAAGGCTACAAAAACACATTTTTGCATTTCTGAAGGATACACAGTTTAATATTAGAAGTCCTTCTTTCCCTCTATTTGGATGGAACACAACAACAACAAAAACAAAAAGGAAGTGGTATTTCTAGTCATTAGTCCTGCCCTGCCCCATCTCCTTGGTTAGGCTACAAACTGACAAACTTCCTGCAAGGCAAATTAGTACCACATGTCAGAACTTGAAGGAATATATTCTTCATTTTCATTTTAGATTTCTAACTTCTAGAAATATATATGTATACATATGATACATAAATTTTTGAGTCAGGGTCTTACTCTGTCTAGCTGGCCTGGAACTTGCTATGTGAGCCAGGCTGGCCCCAGACTCAGAGATCTATCTGCTTCTGCCTACTGAGTGTTGGCATTAAAGTCATATACCACCATGCCCATAAAATTAAACAAGTTATTTTTATTATTATATCCTACATTTCTCATAATGTAGGATATAATGCCACATTAAGAAGACAGAAACATTAATGAAGTTCAAAACTGATAAACTTTCTGTAAGGCAAATTGGTAGCACATGTCAAAACTTGAATGCACATATGAATACACAAAAACCAGAATGACAGACTAGCATAAAACTGTAAAATACATGTGTGTGGTGCTTTCTACGTTGTCATTAATATATAAACCACACAAATACCAACAATACAGGAGACAGCATATGCATCAGACAATTCCTTAGGAAATGGAGCCAATTTTTAATAAATATTTTAGTGTTTTACATAAATCCAGTTTAATGTCATTTTAAAGAAACTGGCAAAGAGAGATAGGATAAGAGAACAAGAGAGATAGAGCAGGCAGGAGAGATTGAGAGACAGAGAGAGACAGCTTTTATAATAGGAATGAGCCCTTTTAGTGCTTGTGGAGACTGAGGCAGCTCTTGATGGCAGTGTTAAGACCACCAGGCTCCACCCTCACGCATATGGGTTACTGCCCGTGTGAGCAGTTTCACCCCAACATCTCCTGTGCACAAGGTCTGCCATGGGATGGCTTGCAAGAAGTTCTGCACCCGATGCAGTCCCTTGCCCATCAGTTCCTAGGCTGCAGAGCTATAGGAGATAAATCTCTCTAAATTAGCCGTCCTTGCCCAGCATGGTGAATGCTGAAATTTGGGGACTAAAGCAGAAGGCGGGCTGCTTCAGGCCAGCCTATACTCGTGAATTCCAGGCAAACCTGGGCTACCGAGTGAGCCTATCTTCAAAACTATCCCCCACAGAGAAAACTGGGTGAGGAATTACTGTCTGCTGTTATAGCGGCAGCAAATGGACCAAGACAAAAACCTCCTTCCTTAGTGACATACATGACTGGGAGGGAAAGGCTGCAGCACACACTGGTAAACCTTCTAGCTTGTTTGAGTTTTGTAACATACATCATAATAAAATTAATCTAGCTTCCTGAGGAAAACAAAACAACCTTCTTTGGTCACCACACAAGGCAACAGTTCACCATGCGCTGCTTTATCACCTCACCCTTCACAGAGCAGCTGCAACCAAGCATTTGTCTAGCTGGTGTTTAATGCTCATTTCCACTGATCAAAGTTTAATTTCCACGAAGGCATACGTGGGTATATTCTACATACTCAATAAACATCTGAACAAATGGATACATTTTTTTATAGAACATCTATCAAAAGAAAAAAAATCCTTTAGAGGAGGAGTTAGGGGAATGACTTTACTCTGAATTCACATATATCTCCCTTTTCTACAGCAAGAGTATAGTGGGGACCAATATTATGGTTAAAAAGAGAGAGAGAGAGAGGGAGAGAGAGAGAGAGAGATCTTGGTTGCTTGAAACTCAAGAGGCATGCTACAAATTTCCAATTGCAGCTGCGTTCCTTCACATAAAATAGTGGGTTTTAGAGTAAGAAGGGCTCTTGTGTGTGTTGGAATATGCAGTGTGTATAAGAAAGTGCTATGCTATGCCGGGAGCCAAAGCTATCTACGGAAGCCAAAGTCAAAGCTATCTAGTGGAGACAAAGGTATCTGCTGAAGCAAAAGTCAATGAGTGAGCCAAAGCTATCTAGTGGAGACAAAGGTAGTTACTGAAGCCAAAGCCAAGTAGAGAGCAAAGGTCATTTAGTGGAGACCTAAAGCTATTTAGTGAAAGAGTTATCTAAGACCCTAAATCATGGGTGATAGATTGTGAGGACATCCGTTTCTTTGAGCATCTGTGAGCTATCGTTAGAAACCATCCTTATCGTATCTTGCAGGTACAATATTTAACCCATGAGAGCACTCTTCCTATCTCCTGCAGCAGCAGATTAATCTTCCCCCTTTCCTGCCTTCTCCCTATATAAGCTGGGTAAAAATTTCTAATAAATGGAAGCCTTGATCAGATGAACAGACTTGGCTCCATTCCTACGTCTCTTCCCCCCCCCCCCCCCGATTCCTTCCAATCTTTCCACCTTAGGAACCCCGTTGAAGCCCCTCGGGGTCAGGGCAATGCAATATTTACAAACACACACGATCCATATTCACACGGTGCATATGTACATGTTTAAGGTACTGAATACAAGAGCAAACCATGGACAAATGCTGTAAAATTTAAGAAACTTTGTGCCATAGCACAGCCCATAAAAGTATGGTTTTGCAACTTTTATCCCTGCATCTAAATTATGCCCAAAATACTATCTAGACTATTTTAAAATGTGTTTTAAGCTATTTTTTTTTCTCAGTTTATTCAGATAAGGTCTTGCAATGTGACCCTCGTTAGCCTGGTATTATTGTTCTGTAGCCTAAGATGGCCTCAAACCTGTGGCAGACCTCCTGCCTCCTCCTCCCGAAGGCTGGGATTACAGGCGTGCACCCAATACCAGCTCTAATTTTAAGTTCTTCAACATATCTCCAGTACCTCAAGGAGGAGAGTAACGCACACAGCACCTAGAATTTTGCTAATTTTTGAAAACTACAGTTAATAATGAGAGTCAAATGGACATTTTAACCGACACTTTATGTTCTTATCATGTTCCTGGAATGTACTAACCCTAACTTAATTTTCATTGTTTGCTCTCTGAGTAGAATGGGGCTTTGTCTGCTCAGGGCATTTGGTGAAGGCAGGAAGTTTGGGTAGTGGGGACTGTGGACTGGTGCCTAGCTATTGCCTGTGGCACTATTTATCACATGTAGGCTGCCTGCTTCAGGGTGTGCTGTCTTCACCAGTCCTCTCAGGGAGCCTGTGTGAGGAAGGCAGGCAGGATGACATGAAGGAGGAAGGCAGGATGAAGGAGAAAGGCAGGATGAAGTCTTTTTTTTTTTTTTTTAAGCAACAAGAACATGGTCCTTTGGCTTTTGCTACATTTCTGGTTTACTGTTTTCCTTTTCATAAAAGCTGACGTTTGGACAGAACTCTACAGGTTGGCACTGTTTAACCCCATCAATAATGACAACCAGCTCTAATTCTCACAGGACTGAGAGCGAACACAGCAAGTCAGTGGGATGTATGTGACATCAATTTTAAATGACTGAATTCACTTTTGTACATATTAGTAAGATGTGTGATGCAGAAAAAGGTTATGCTGATGCGTAAACCACAACAACTGGATGGGCATGTGACAAGCTGTCGGAAAGGAAATAAACGGCTTAAATCCATTTTGCTGGGTGAACGCACTGCGGCGCTTCTAGCGGGACTCCGACAGCGTTACCTTTGGATGGCCTTTCTCTGGGCTGGGAGATGACTAGCGTCACATCTTCGGGCGCGTTCTGCAGAATGTCAACGGCGGCGTGGTGACTGACACCTTCCAGACTCACACTGTTCACAGAAATCAGGCGGTCTCCTGGAAAAGACGCCATCCAGCTTGTTCAACAACCCAGAGCAGACCCTGAAAAGTCTACCCTCTCTCATTATTTTTGCTTTGCCTCAGTTTCGCCCTCTGTACAAATTTGTGTCTTGGAAAGCACATAGGAAGTTATTGAAATGTGAAGTACCAGGCTTTAGGCATCCATCCAAGTCAGCTGGTCCTCCAGGGGTGACCGAACTGATAAACACACCGAGGTCCAGCCTGCCCATCTTTTCCCCACCAATAACTTGAAATCCTGTAAAACAGCACATTAAGAAGACTTGTATGGTACTGATTCTTTTAATGCCTCATGATCTGTCTGCTTGAAACAAACATAGATAAAATGATTAACATGTAAGAAATCATTTTGGCATACTGTCTCTACCCTTGATGACCGGGGTGGAGGATGGTGAACTCAAGTGGGCGGCCCAGCATCTCGGGTAGTGCTGATGCCCAGGAGAAGGGCAAAGGAAGGACAGCGAAGGGGCACACCACAATGATACATGCCCCTGAAAATGTCACAAGGAATCCCGCTTGTCTGTATAGTAACCATTAAGCAAATAAAAACAAGGAAAGGGAGAGTGGTGGCTGGTGGCTCCGGTGCCAGGCCGTGTACCCCTCTTTCCCTCGGACTCTCACGCTGACTCACCTAGGCCATGCTTTGGATCTTTCTTCAGGTTCACCAACGTGATCTCTCTTTCTGGTGAAGACACAACGCTCCATCTTTTGTGTAGTGTATCTATTGAGAGTTTGCAATTTAGAAAGAAAATAAACAGAGTAAGTGCAGGCCTTTATTGGCTTTTTCTCATTTAAACAACAGCAAAAATATTAATAGATTGCTTGATCACTCAAAACCAAAACCCCAGGTTACGGAGGCTGCTAGCACTCTGCAGCGACTTATGGCTTACAAGCACACTGCATCCCATGGGTTCCCTATAGACCGTCCCTCTTGAATCAGCAATGGGCAGCTCCACGTGAGTACATGTATCAAGGGGACAGACGCTGTGCACGGTGCAACAGTCAGCCGCTGCCGCAGGGGCACCGGACCCCGCCCTTGGGCTTTCTGTTACATCTTTCTGCTGCAGCACAGCACCTGGGGAGAGGGAGAACCAGCAGGAAGTACGCGTTGCTCCTGCAGTCTCTAGCACCACGTGGCAGCTGCTGGGGCACTACATACATGTGCTGCACTGACCTATGTGCTGGTAAAACATTCACACACATAAAGGAAAAATACCATCTGTAAGAAATAAAAACCTCCCCCCAAAATGAGTGGCATATCATTTATAAATAAGTAAAACATTACTATGTTCCGGAATAAAGTGGTAATGAAATAAACTGGATTTGGTGTTTAAAAATCGTACTACTTGTGTGGACTTTACATAAAATAACTTGTCTAGCACATCTACATTCCAAAGACTTCTAACCACCATTTTGTAGATGAGGATACACAGTGTAACTTTCTCAGTCTTATAGCTGGGATCACCATCGAGAATAATGATGAAAAATACTTAGTCAAGGGTAGTTAGCTCAATTATCTAAATGAATTTCAACACCTGAACTACAATTTGCTTTTTCTAATTTCTCCTTAATTGTCTTATCATTTGCAAACATCTTGATTAAAGCAGTAAACATAACCCTTAAGCGACTCACTAAGCAAAAATTCAACAACTCAAGCACACAGACAGACAAACACGCATACATGCATGCAAACACACATAGGCATGCACACACACAAACAAAGTAACAGTGGCTGTAACATGACAAAGTCTACTGGTCTGTGTATGAAGGTGGTTACAGTGGTGAGATTTAGCACTCAGAAATATATTTTTATAAATTGAAATTTCGAATTTAAGTCTGTATTATTCTTAAACATACTGATGCTTTTTGAAAAACCAAAACAAGCAAACCAACCCCAAAACAATCCCCAGAGACTATAGTTTCACTATAATCCTTTTCCCCCCTTATGTTCCAACATTTAAGACCATGCATGGACTTAAATTAGTGTTTATAAGCTCGTAACTGACACAAAATATGCAGTGGCGTCCTGGTAATAAAAAGTACACTTCAAAGCCTAGACATAAATTACTTCACCCTGAGGAAACAATAACCCTTATTTCCTATCAACAATAAATTTAACCTTGTGTCTTTTTTGTTTTGTTGTGTTTTTCAAGACAGCGTTTCTCTGTGTAGCCCTGGCTGTCCTAGAACTCAGAGATCCTCCTGCCGCTGCCTGGCAAGTGCTGGGATTACAGGCGTGTGCCACCGTGACAGGCTTTTTATGTTTGTTTGTTAATTTTTTTGAGACAGAGTTTTTCTCTCTGTAGACCAGGCTGTCCTCGAAATCAAGAGATCTGCCTGCCTCTGCTTCCTGAGCGCTGGGATTACAGGTGTGCGCCACCACCACCCAGCTAGCCTGTGTCTCAATCGCCATATCAATACAAATTTGATGCTCTCTGTAGCTCGTATGCCCTTTTGGAGCTGGGGCTCATTGGTAATCAGCAATAGTACAGCAATGTGGCATGTAAGGAGCGTACGATGAAATTACACAGAGCCATCACTAGGTAACGCTGTGAGGGCCCTGAAGGAGAGGCAGTACTGAGGAAAGTGCCCCAGGCTCCTCATGAGCGGCTCTTGTAATGTTATCTACACATCCTCAATTCTTTTCTTCCTGGTTTTCAGCGGGAAGGGGGGGGAGGAAGAGGGATAAAGATAAAACCACAAGTAACAAGACCCATAGCAATTACAGTAAACAAAAGGTCACATAATAACTGAAATAAAAAGTACTTAATTAACGTGGTAAAAAACAACGATATAATTGGAGTACTGCAAAGCCACTAAGTGACATTAGTGCCTTTGAATTTCCACCCCTCCCAAGCTTCAGATTTAGATTTTTAGCTCAAAGGAACGTGGACATTTACAAGCTGACGAAATTCATTATTCCATGGTACTTGGTAAGTCCAAAGGCATGAAGTTATTAGTAGAAAAGCAAATTCACTGGCAGTTTAGAAAGACAAAATAAAAACTAGATGAGGGGAAATGTGGTTCCTTTCGCTATTGTCGCTTAAGAAGAGAGAGGCATTTAACCGTGCCAGGCTTTACATGGCAACAAAGCTCACAATTGGGAAGAAATGGTCCATCTGGTTTACACAGAGACTTTCTGCCTTTCCTCACTTTTCTGAATGGCCTCCTGAGGTATAAATGTTCTTTCAAAGAATGAGGAGGCCAGTTTCTTCATTTCCACTTCTAACAAGTTATTAAGAGAATTATAACATTCTCCTGGTTAATATGGTGTGAGTGTGTGTGTGTGTGCAAAGTGTGTTTGTGTGCGTGTGTGTGAGCACCTGCGTGCACGAGGGCACACATTCTGCCTAATTAGAAGCAACACAGCTTCCTTATTCAAAGATTCCTGACGCCCACTTCAGCACTTACTCAGTTACCTAGTCATTCTATCATTCGCCTATTTCCTGAGCAACCTTCTTACCAGTTTCTACCATTGGAATTCTGGGGAAGTAAAACAAGGCAACAGATACGAAAGCTGCTATTTCAGCAAGTGTGACAAGGTCTATCTAGCTTTAGCACAAAACAGACAGCAGTCAATAATGTCAGGAAAAAAAATGTTTAAAATAAAAGGGAAAAAATAATGTCAATCAAACGGCTGCATTCCGAAAGCAGGCGCCAGGCCTACAGGGGGCTCCTAGGAAGTGCTGCCGCCCTGCCAACCGGTGACAGCGTCACCCTGGGTGTAAAGGAGGTGATAGGGCAGGATGCTCCTGAGCGCATCCACTGTTCTGCCCCAAGATGTGCACAGGTGAGACGGCCAGAAGACTGGGGGCAAAAGGCTGTGAGCAGAGCCTGTACTTCTGTTGAGCAAGTTTCTGATTAGTCACGGAAGCTTTGCCAACCATCTCCCTGCTCGGCTCAGCCTTGGCAGTCTCAGATCAGTGAGGAGGCCCGGCCGGCTCACGTGCTCAGGCTGCAATACTTGAGCACGCACAAGCTGAGCGTCTTTCTTCAGTCTCTGCACACAGCACATGTTCAAAATACTTTTTCATTTTTTTTTAATTGGGAGGAGTCTCTGAGGTATATCTATGCAAATATCAAGGTATTTGCCTATAGCTAATTCAATGAATGGAGTTGGTGAATCTCTGTGAGGCAGACTCTTTAATTATGAAGACATTTCTGAGGCCTATCTGAAAAAAAAAAAAGCATGAATATCAAGGTGGCTTATTCTAAGATCCTTAAAATAATTCTCATCTCCTATTAATATGTACTATTGATACAGCAACTTATCTCAACTATTTGGAAGTTAATAAAAAGGAATCTTAACTTGAGATTTCCAGTTCTTTAGGTAAAACGTGGCGGTGGCATATGCAGTCACACCTACTGTGTGTAAGCCCTCTTGACCAGGACCTGCTTGTCTCTCAGGAAGCTCCTGTGGGTGCTAAGTGATCTTCATTACCATGCTTTATAGTGACGGATTCACCGTTACCTAGAAACAGCACAATTTGCTTCTGACAAGGCTAAAAGCTATGCCGGTGCTGACATCTTCAAGGAACCAGGGCAGTTCTAGCAGGAGGAGTAGTGTTTAACCCCTTTTGAGGCAAGGCAAACAGGTTCTCCGAGTTAAAGACTGCACCTATATCAGGCAGCCTTGGGCTTCCATGGGCAGAGTGGGTGAGGAGATGCTGCGGGCCCATTCTCCCGGGAGGACCCTGCTTCAAACAGTGGGACTGACGGGTCAGTGGCACCATATGGATCTAAAACCAGGCTCTTCTCATTGCTGTGCTATTTTTTTGTTTGTTTGTTTTGAGACTATGCAGACCTGGTTGGGCTGGAACTCACAAGACCAGGCTGGAGTCGAACTCAGAAACCCTCCTAGCTCTGCCTCCAAGTGCTGGGAAGCCACGCTAAGCTCTGCTGTACTATTTAACCTGGCATCCGCTACGATAGAAAAATCCACATCTTAATTTTGGTGTCAGTACACACTAGTTAAGATGGCGAGGACCACACACTAGCTCTTGGGCGCACACAGCCCACAGAATGAAAGGCTTGGGGTGACACGCGTCTGTCCACAGAGTGAAATGTAACTACCATTCCTCGGTTTACACTTGGGCAGCTGGTGAGCTCTCCTTCTGCTCAGGGTTAATCCTCGCTCTGTGCTTTTATGTTAATTGTAACGTACAGCTTTGCAGGTATTCTAGCAGAAACTGACAGGAAGACCAGCATTTGACATGACAACAGTCCTCACGTCAGACTGAAGAGGGTATATTGTAAAATTTTATTCATTCTTCAACACTACTACTTTGCATTAAAGGCTGGCCATAAGGCCATAATTAGCACTGAAACTGTATAAAGTTAATTTCACAGACTGCCCAATGATACTGTAGACCAGAATAACTTTTTGTTGTTTTGATTTGGCTTTTGAGACAAGGTTTCTCTGTGTAGTCCATATTGTTCTGGAACTCACTCTGTAACCCAGGATGGCCTTGACCTCAGAGATCTGCCTGCCTTTGCCATCTGAGTACTGGGATTAAGGCAAAAACCTGCAAAAACTAAATTCTCAGCTGAGTTTTAATCCCATTTAGTTGGGCAGGTTCAAAAGGAATTCTAAAGAAAAGGAAAAGACCGAGTCCCTTCTTAGGCAGGTGACTGGCTAGTGAGATGAGAGTTCTAGAAATTTAAAGGGAAAAAAATTCTTAAAACTCATAAATAGTTGGTGCAAATTCATACTCTTGTCTATGAGAAGTCAAAACATGTGTGTGCTGTCATCACAGAGTGGTTATTAGCAGCCATGTGGGTGCCGGGGACCAAATCCAGGTCCTCTGCAAGGGCAGTTGCTTGGCCGCTGAGCCTTCTCTCCAGCCCCATGACATCACTAACTTTCACTGTAAAACTGCTCCTTTCTCACCAGGCTTTTGATTAATTCAGTGTTCAGGATTTAAGGGTAAGACCTACAGCAAAGTAATATATAGATAAATAATAATGGACTTTTTTCTACCCATAAAGCTGTTTAAAAGAGCAATTAAGATATAAGAACACATTAAATTATTAAAAATCGGAATACAGACCCAGGCCACACCTGGTCCTCCTCCTCTTAGCTTCAAGTTTCTTAGGGTCTATCTACGTTGGAGAGATTCACCTTTAGAGCCTTCAGTTCTGCCTCAGAGCTGGTCCCCACATGTCCTGCAATGTCATGTGGCCCCCCCGGCAAGCACCGGCACCCCTGCTACTGTGTTTCCATTCTCTAACTAAAATGCTCACCTCTGTTCTTTATGAGAAAATCTGCCTCGTGGGAGGCCTCGAGTACAATCCCCCAGTATTTGAAACAGCAACAGAAAAGATTTAGTGCGAGCATCCCTTCAAATGGCCTCAAAATTATCTCTCTGCAACTGCCTTGGCCTCTCAAGCGATGCCCTCTCCTGACCTCTCATTCATTTCCTTTAGTAGCAACTGTGGAAACCGCAGGTCCTACCACACTGCCAGGACGTGAGAAACACCATGCTCCTTTAACTGTGATGCAAGGCCCAAATTCATGGAATAGTTGCCACGTTGATGCCCAGATCATTTTGTACGGTACAAGAAAAGAGAAAAGGTATGATGCAAAGTAGGGAAAACATTTGTAAACCTACCATTGTCTTTAAAGGGAACTTGGGATGAAGATTTTCCAGAACTAGGCAAACCCATTCCTGTGGTATAAATTAAATTATTAGACATTTTATAAAATGGCCACAAACTACGGAAGTAAATTTTCTTCTGAAAAAATTCACAAATATCAATGCAACATTAAGGCAGCAACGTTTTCTTTGATTTACATTGAGAGAAACATCTTCCCACAAAGGGCACACCTACAGTTTTTTAATAGTAATTCAGCATATTGTTTCGGCCCATAAATTTAAACTCAAATGTGCTGTTTCTGACAATGACAGTCATATACGTCAAATATGAATTATTTATAATGAAATGAGTATCAAAAACATTTGTCAAAATGTTAAACGAAAATGTAATATTTAATGAGAATGGATAAAATAAAAATTAATTGAGAAAATAGATATTATGTTATCTCCGAATTCCTACCCCTATTTTTTTTTTTTTTTTTTTTGAGAGAGAGGGTCTTATATAGCTTAGGCTAGCCTCAAACACAGTACATAGGTTGAGGCTGGCCTTAAACTCCTGACTCTTCTGTGTCTAGCTCCCAAGTGCTGGGATTCTATGTCATGTACCTTCACAGCTGGCAATCCAGTCTTTACTATGTAACAGCCATGACTCTCATGATACACAACAGCTGCTTCGTGCAGGATGAAGCTTCCTAATGAGAGACCTTACAGCCCATGAGACCTCACTGGATGTAAGCATGTTTTGAAAATCGTTTCCTAACATGCTGATCACTCTCTCTTGCCTTAATCTTCAATACAGGGCTACCCTATGGGATGACATTTTGCCTTTATCTGCTTCAGTCTTTTCCGATTCAGTTTCCATTGATGACGGTGTAATCTGTGAATGCTGTGAATGCCTTCACTCACAAAGTCGGGTTGTTTCCCATAGGTATCTCCCAACTACAGCAAAGGGTTCTCCTGCGACTTCACTTACTTTACACAGCCCCAATCCAACTATAAAACGAAAAATAAGTTCAGATAGCTAGGGCCCAATATGGGTTGAAGGAGAGAAATAAGTAGACTGTGATGACACAGGAGGCGGCCTGCTTCCTGCCTCCTCAGCTGCTCCCACTCAGAGCAGCAGTTGAATTTTCTGTGCTGAAATACCTACTCTTCTTTCGGGTGGCTTTACCTGATGTTCCTTTTAAGATGCGCAAGGCAATGAGCTATTCAACTCATGGTGACGCTGAGGTACACACAAACACAGGTGCACGTGCGCCTCATACACGCAGCCTCCGCGCCTTTAGTGGGGAGAGGCTCTCAAACTCACATCTTCTGACCTCCATCTCCTTCAGCACTGGGATTACAGGAGTACACCCCTGCACCTGGAGTTACACAGTTTCAACACCTACGTAATTAACGGCCCCAAGTGACAAGCTGGTAAAAGCTGACAAAGACTGGAGCCAATTAAAAATTATCTACCAACCACAGCGGTTTCATGAGGTTATCTAAGGGTTTGGAGGTCATTCTATTGTTTTTAAGCTAAAAGAAACTGAAATTCATCCTTCAAAAAGAAAACACAGCACCACTCACACAGGCTGTGGGAGACGGCCAAGGGAAGGCAACGCCATGCTGTGCACGAGACCCGGGCATTCTCTAGGACGCCATGGCCACGTGACTGGCATGAAGCAACCCCAGGCTCAACCAGGTCTTAACTCCGAAGTATTTTAGGCCATTTTAAGCGTTTACAGCCTGAGCGATTGCAAGACCGACTCCACAGCACCAGACTGGCAATGGACATGGCTGTGTTCACGTCACTAGCAGCAAGAGCTACGGGAGAGAGAGCAAAGCTTGGCAGTGCTGACCTACAACGTATGCTTGACCAGGGTCTTCAATGGATGAGTCTGATTCATGTTTCCTCCTTTCGGGGCTTCTATTTAAACTGGCAACAGACTTTGAACTATAGAGGGAAAAGGAAGGCAGGAGGGGAAGTGTCAATGTAAAAATAATATGGTGAAGATAACAAGACGTCTGAACAAACACAAATGCATGAAATGTGGGGTTTACAAGTATGTACGAGGGTTAGTCGACCATGTTCTTACTTATTGAGCTCTGTGAGTCCTGCCAGTGACTCTGTGTCAGATCTCGCCATCGGGGACAACGGTTTTGCCACCAGCTCCACAAAGGCTGGCGGTAAGGACTCGGTGTTAATGACCTGTTTCCGGTGAGGATAGAGAGAAGCCTGACTGAGGTCGTGATAGGATTTACTCATCCCTCTAGGCTTTTCCTCCCATGGAGCTCTGTCTCTCTTCTCTTTTGAACTGCTCTGCAATGGCTGGTGAAGCGACAGCTCTGAGGTGGATAGCCTCTTCAGGATCTCAGCTTGAACTGACAGGGGTCGGACGGCAAGCTTGTTGAGGGTGCTGCTGGCCAGACTGCCAGTGCTGATTGCGCGGCCCATATTAAATCCTCTAACAGACTCTGCTTGCAGGTTCAGGCTCCTAAACGAAGCTCTCTCTACAAGGAAATAGGATTGCTTTACATGATGGAGACACTGCAGTACCTTTGTGAGAAGAGTTATTTTAATCGGTGCAATACAGCATGCGGGTTTTAATCATCTCAAAGTTGGCAACTGAGAGTTTTAGGGAAGCGTTAGAAGGTCCTGGCTCTCATACATCTCACCAGCCTTAGCCTACACATTTCCCACTTCACCCACTAAGTCTCTTTCACCCTGTGATGTTTGTGACTTATGCCAGAACACCCCAAATTCCTTATGGCTTTCCACATCGACAAAGAGTGTTTGTGCTAAAATATCAGCAAACTAAGACCGGGGAGATGAAGCCAGGAGGGTTGCCATCTCTGAAAAAGCAGCTGCAGAGGAAAGCTTTCCCAGAAGTCCCTGGTTACCGTTACACTTCTCAACGCTTACCACAGATTAATGATATAGCACTCTGTGAACACACACACAGAAATGAATACATCACAATTGTATGCTGTATAGATCAATAATGCTGTTATAGGCCAAACAAAAAAGCCTTCAGGACAATTTTTATGTTATTACACAGCTACACCAGCCACATCTCCTCTCCACTTCAGGAATGAATGAGGCACGAGAGCCAGGGGGACAGAGCTCCAATCTTCTCCCCCTTTCTGTGTCTGTAAGTGTGGAGTTGTCTGTACTTAAACTTTGTTTACTAATAAATGAAGACCAAAGCCTGTGTTTAGAAGTTAAATTTAGAAAACTTTAGGCCAAACCCTTGGTTATTTATTCTATCTCATCACAACAGTATTTGACATTTGAAGCTATAAGCAAAACCACCATACCACCAATGACCGAGGAACAGAGCATGAGATGATTTTGTGTTTGTGAATTAGGCAAACCACGATCACTTGCTGGGCCCTACCGTAACTAGCATGATAGAGGTGCGCTCTCTTTTTACTAAAGTGTGGTAAGCATGTCAGATGGCTGACCTAGATTGCTCTTCACTGATCATCTACTGCCTAGAAGATTAACACTATTTCATTTAAGGTGGACAACAGGTAGGAAGGCATTGACATTTTAACATCCACGCATCAAAATGAGCCTTGAATTAGCATGCGTCATTATCACCAGGGAACAGTGGTCCTTCCTTCTCTATGATGAAGCAGAATTCAGGATCTTCATTTGTACCCCAGAACTTCTAGAACCATCTTAAACTTAATATGTGGGGGTTTTGTTAGAGCAGATAACATTATTTTTATTCTCTTTTACTGTGAGAGGACTCTTTGATCTAAGAAGGAGACAATACGTCAAAGATAGCAAATACCACAACACCTAAAATTTGGCAGCAATAAGGCCAACAAGTTCAGTTTAGGTTCTGTCTCCTGAGCATAGCAAGGGCCGCCCCTTTCACGTCCGCCCAAAAGCTCACGGCCTCAGAGCCACAGGACACGAGGATAACCAGCCGCTGATCTCATCGTTCCGTCTTCTGCCGGGAGCATACCTCAGCGTAGACAGCAGGAGCCGCAGTGTAATACCAGCGCTGTGCTTCAGGCTGAAGCTTACAGCCTTGCTAGCCACACACACGGCCCTCAGCCTGCTCCTTACAACCTGCTTCTGCTCCTGGTCAGCCTCCTCAGCACTCTGTACTTCCTTCTATTACTAGCCTTTCCACAGCCTGTTCTGGACAGACTTCAGTTTTCCTGTTATTCCTTAGCACTTACTACCTAAAAGGAAGCGCTCACTAAACAACTTATCTCTTCATTCTGTGTAGATCAGCTGTACGTAAACTCTTGAAACAGGAGCGAGGAGAGAATGTTTCCCCTACACCGGACTCTTACTATCACTGAATTAGGGAGACAGTTTCTACTTTTCTACTCCGCACCTATTTCCTTGTTAGTAAAACTGGGACTTAACGGCCTCTAGGGCTCTTTATAGAATTAACATTCTCCAATATTAAAAGGTAATATTCAAGCGTTAGTCCACCAACCTTTTATAGATTACACCAGTATTCTCACTTGTTTGGTTTAGGTATGCTGGCTACTTCTAACCCAACTCAAAGCAGGGGCATGATCCCTTTCAAGGCTTCTTAAAATATGGGATAGCATAAAAACGGTACCCCCTTGAAGCATCTTCTTCACGAGTTCAGGGATGGAACTAGGTTTATGAAATGTGTAGAGCTCTCTTTCATGGAGAAAGAAACTGAAAACTCAGTTTCTTTCCTAAGGTCATTGGTACGTGAGCATGCTACTTACAGCATTGTACAGGGTATAAGGTACATGGTACAGACACGTCCAGCAGAGCTGCAGAGGCAGCACCTACTGATGCCACCATTACCACTACAGGTACTACTTAGTGGTATCACTTTTGCCGATTAGTAGTAGAGGAAAGTGATAAAACAGTGGTGAGGCTTGAACCCAGGACCTTACTGTGTCGGCAAGTATATTCCCATTCACCCGCGTGTCCTCAACCCTGGTCTGCTGAATACGCGTGAAGTGTTCTACAGGTATGAATTAATTGAATAACCTTTTGATATACGGATTATCACTGTGACAAGAAGAGGAACTAGGAAAACTTCTGTGGTATGCCTGAGGCTCCCAAGACTGTGACAGTCTGGTTGAAACATCAGAAATTTTACTTCAGGTGATATCATGCACGACTAGAGGTCAAACATTCCCCTAATATGAAAATACCAAAGCTGAAACTTTAAGTGCTGAATAGACATTTCAAATGGAAACTCACTGCTTGGCTTCATTTGACAGGTTTCAGTCAGAACACAAAAAGCAGCATATAAAATCCCCTGCAGGCTCATGTGTGGAAGGGGAGGAGACAGAAACAGATATGTTTAGAGGTAGGCCCATCCCTCCTAAGTACCTCCTTATGTGTTTGTAAGGTAGTCCAAACTCTTAAAATAAACCTTAAAAATCTGCAACATTTCTGGTTCCCCCGAAAATCTGGATAGGGGATACCAAGCTGTGTGAAATGCCGAGCAAGGATCAACTTCACACGTTTATCTTCTGATTCTCCCTACTCTATCACATTTTAAAAAGGATGGTCCCTCATTGTGCTGTGGGTCACACATGCATGTTATTAATTCACAACTTCCGTATGGATTTACTCAAAAGAAGAGCTCTCAGATCATGCTAACCTCAGCATGTGCTTGCACAGAATTAGCTTTAAATATTTCAGCTCTGAGAGATTTCTGTCCAGAGATGGAGTGTTTTTGCAGCTGAAAACCCACTGTCCTGTTGCTATGGTTACTTATAGCAGCCTCCAGACACGGATGATCCCAAATAAGACTAGGATCTGTAAATGTAGCATGCAACTCCTGATGTCACTGCAGGGGTACCACCTGCCCTGCCTGTACCAGCTCTGCCATATTCCTCCCCACACTAATCTCCAAATTATGAAACATTTGTCCTTCAAATCCAAGTCAGCTGTCACCTGTCTGGAACTCAGACCTTCCTCTTATGAGTTACGTGGATCCCAGAGCCTACGTGATACAGTCTGTTCAGAGGGCTCGGCAGTTAGGAGCTCTAGCTGCCCTTCCACGGGACCCAGGCTCCATTCCCAACACATAGGATGGTTCACAACCACCCATAACTACGTTCCAGAGAGATGCTCTTCTCTGAGGGCCCTGCACACCTGTGGTATACAGATGTACAGTCAGGCAAAATTATTTCATATGAATTATAATGATTAAAAAACTTGCTGCATTTTATCATTTCATAGTTAGGACCTAAAACATGGTTAAGTATTTGAAGAGTCTGTGCTAAGCTGTGTCTAGGAAGCTGATCTGACAGCTTTATAGACTAAGCTTGGGCACTTAACAAAGAGATGCCTTGTTAGTCTGCATCCTAAACACTTCCTGTGTTTCTTTTAAAAACCTGTGTCGAAAAGCACGCGTGTGTCCTAGAGCCCCGTGCGGCAGCCCACCTCCCCTTACCGATGTCTTGGGCGTCTTGGTTGCTCTGCCGTGCCCTCATCTGCAGCTGGAACTTGTGCTGGGAAGAGCAGAGCTGAAGCAGGTACTGGCACACCTTGCTGCTGTCTGTCTGGAATGCATGTTTGATTCCATCTGATGTGTTCTGTAACGTGATTTTCTTTTTCTATAACGGTAACCAGAGGTATTTGTGATTAGGAAGTTTTCCTATGACATTTTAGATGACCAAATAATTAATAAGTAGAGATATTTATATTCCCAATTATTAGGATGAGTGCCCTTTAACTAATACCATATATAAATATAGAAATGATAATTCTATAACTAAATAAATTTGATAAATAAAATAGTATCAATTGTCATTTTTACCAATTGTAGCTTCAATCATACGATATTCCATTCATTATCAAGGAAAATTTTACAATATTACCCAGGGAGCCTGGAGGGATGACTCAGTGGTTAAGAGCACCGGCTGCTCTTCTAGAGGACCCAAGTTTTAGCACCTAGTATCATATAACATGTAACCCCAGCTTAGGGGATCCAACGCCCTCTTTTAGCCCCCAAAGTCACTACACAAGGGTGGTGAAGGCATGCATGCTGGTATAATACCCATACACAGTATTCATGGACATACATATATATATATAAATATCTTTCTCCCACACTGAAATAATTTTTTAAAATCATATTTTTATTCTTACATGTTTACATGTAATATAATGAGAATGTTTACAAATACTAATAAAAATGGTAACTACATATTCTACTCCATGAGTAAAGAAGAATTAAAAAGATGTTTTAACAATTCATAGTAATGGTGAGAGTTAGCATTCAGTTAAGGATAATGTCGGTGGTATGAAGGCTGGAATGGTATATTTGAGAAGTCAAGGAAAATGTAGGAAGCTGGGCAGATGTGGTACATCCCTGTGTCCCGGGTACATGGGGGAAGAGGCAAGAGGACACTGAGCCTAGAAGCTCAACAACAGTCTCAGCAGCAAGAACACAGCATTCCAGACAGGAAAGGGGGTAGGGATAAAGAAAGGAAATGTGCTAATGGGCTGCTAGACGACATAACATGAGACTCTTAAATACTTTCCTATTTAGAGATGGCTACTGCTACCAAATTAAAGGAAAGTAGAAAAATAATAAGCCAGTTTTACTTGGCTGGTGTTTCCTGAAAGAATGTGTATTTTACAGAAGAGGCTCCCCAGAATCTTCGGTCTGTGCTTGCAGATGACCCTAAACCTTAGAAAAGACACATCCAGCAAGCCAGGCCCACAGCTTATGTTAGACATTACTTAAATGCAGTGAGATTCTATTCCACCTATTACCTATTACAAAAATCAGTCCCTAGTATATCTTTATTTCAAATGTTGAAATAGGCACACAAAAGTCAAATTTAATTGGAGCTCAAAATTATAGTAAGAGAATATTAGACCTCTTGTGTTCATAAAATATGGCCTTACTGATTTACACTAAAGATCTTTATATAATTTTAACTAGAATACCATATCAATACCATAAACAAAATGCAACTATAAAAAATAAATTTTAGGAAAAGGAGAGAGAAAGAAATAATAAATGCAATAAAATAGAGTAATATCCTTATATCCTAGGTAGATGTTGCTGTTCATAAATCTCTGGGACTGAACCTGATTTCCCTTTGTTAGAAATGAAAGCTGGCATTAAAATCTTTACTCCTAGAGAAGCTAAACAACAAGGAAGACCCTAGGGAAGATGCTCAATCCTCATTCAGAAGGACAAATAAGATAGACATTGAAAGCAGGAGAAGACAGGGAACAGGACAGGATCCTACCGCAGAGGGCCTATGAAAGACTCTACTGATCGAGGTATCGAAGCAGATGCTGAGACTCATAGCCAAACTTTGGGCAGAGTGCAGGGAATCTTAGGAAAAAGAGGCATATAAAAAGACCTGGAAGAGACAGGAGCTCCAAAAGGAGACCAACAGAGCCAAAAACAAACAAACAAAAAAACCCCAACTCAGACTCCAAATGGACTCCCTAGAAATGGGAACAGGGGCTGTCTCTGACATGAACTCAGGCTCTCTGATCACCTCCCCTAGGGGGTGCAGCCTTACCAGGCCACAGAGGAAGACAACACAGCCAGTCCTGATGAGACCTGATAGACTGGGTCAAATAGAAGGGGAGTCCCTATCAGTGGACTAGGGGAGGGGCATAGGGGAAGGAGAGGGACAGAGGGAGACACAGCCAGGATACAAATTGAATAAATTGTAATAAATGATAATAATAAAAATTTTGTAAAAAAAATAAATTATATATAAAAAAAGAAGTGAAAGCTGGCAAGTTTTAGAACAGGTTAAAAATACAGTGATATCAAACCAGAGCCTTGACTATGGGTCCACCCAGTAACTCTCAGACAGCTGGGGGGTGTTCTCCCTAACAAATGGGCCACTAACCACTGCCAAGTAGTTTCCAAAGACACTAAAAGCACAGGTGTAAATCTACTGATCACAGCATCAACATGACAGGAAGAATCTACTCAGACAATCGTCACAAATGCTGCAGATGGGGATCTCAAATAGGCAGAATAAGGCAGAGAGGAGACAGGCCCCAAAGCCTGCCAGAGGGCGGTTACAGGTACAGAGCAGTTACGGAGGCAGCACCACACACAATGTCCTGGCTCTAGACAAACTAGAAGAACGTTTGCTTGAGCCTGAATTAGGACTGAACGGACAAGAGCTGCGCCCAAGGGAACTCTGAGAGCGGAGACAGATACAGGGTAAGGTTTATTTATGTTTCCTTCAAATCCTTGTTCTACTTAAATCTCCACTTGAAGAAACTAAATTAAATTGTGGCTCTGTCCAGGTCTCAACACTTTTGGGAAGATGAAGGCAGTCTGGGCTTTGCTGGAAAAATGAATTATTACCTGGTAATCTCAGCGGGACCTCTTGATCTCACAGACCCACTAACTGCCGGTCTAGAGCTAATTTTAAAGGTTCCTTATTCAGAATCCAGCATAATGTTTACAGGCTTATGAATATTATTTTTGTGAGAACATGTCAGCCCAAATGTCAATAATCCTCAAATACTATTAGGAAATAAATACTTAAACATATTTTTTTTGTTCATCTTTGAGGTTTGCCAGATGACAACTCAAAATATTTAGATACTTAAATCACTTTTCTAACTGCATCACTCTAGAGAGTAGACAGGAAAATCCTAAACTGCAGAAAGTCATAGGACTATTTATAAAATTCCGTGGTCAACGGGCCTCTGAGCTCACATGACAGGTGCTGTGAGAGCCTCCCCTGAGTTCAGCAGAAGGGGGAGAGTGACGGCTGTAGAATAAGTTTTCATCTAACAGCAAGCTAGACTGGGTTGTGATGTAACTCAAGTTAACTGCACATATCACCACTCAGGAACGCTTCCTGTGCTTTGAAAATAAGCAAGACGAAACAAAACCACAAACAAATAAAATCTCAGAAGAGCATGTATAACTGAAAAAAGAAAAAGAATGTTAGGTTGTACGGAAAGTCAGTAAATATGTTACAATTAAAAAGTGGTTACACCAATTGAAAACATTACGAAAAGAGGTCAAACAGACATACTGAAAAGGAAATCTTTTTCGTTTCCCTCCACGGAAAGCGAAGGACCAAGGCACGGACTCCATTGTGAACCTCGAACACAAGCACCCCTTTGGAGCAGACCCCCAGCAGGATGCCGGTCTGGGACTTCTTTTCGGGGTGCACCCGGTGAAAGTGAACTCCATATTCCGTCAGCCTCTGGCAGACCTGTTGGAACAGAGTGGTGCACTTCCGTAAACAGAGGCTTTCAGGGAAAAGTGGTCCATGCACTCAGGGCGGCTGTCAGGCTTTTCAGGTCTAGGGCATGTGGGATCCCCATTCCCAATACTCACATGGAGTGATCAAAGAAAACCAACCAAAAATGCATCACAGGCCCAAACACTTAACGAGTCTAACACCTCAAGAAGGTTGTAAGTGTGGATTAGGCCAAGTGCTAAGATGGGACAGAAAAACGGGAAAAGAATCAGCAAGTTTACTCCAAGGAGGCAAGAAGGCATGTGAGTGACAATTACAAACCTGGTCATGAGAGGGAAGTGACAAAATAACAGGACAAACTCAAACTGAGAAGTCAGGATACGTAAGGCGTCCAACCAAAGGAGCTACATCATAATATACCACGGAAAGGTGCTTTATTGGCAGTCAATCGGATGGGAATCAAGTTGAAAAGGTTTAAGGATACACATCAAGAAAAGTTATACGAATGGAAAACAAAACATGAGAAACGGTTAATAAAAGTAGTGACCAGGAAAGACAAATTCAAGCTACAATGCTGGGGTGGCAGGGGCGGCTCAGTGGTTAGGATCACACACCGTTCCTGCGGGAGCCTGGGGTTCGAGTCCCAGCACCCATGTCGGGCGACTCTCAGTGAACTCCAGCTCAGGCGGCTTGGACACTGGTTTCCATGGACAAATGCACTCACATGAGCTTGCACACACACACACACACACACACACACACACACTCACACACACACACACACTTGTGTACACACACGTGCGCACACACAAACAGTATTAAAAATAAATAAATCTAAAAGCCATTTTTAAAGTTTTCTATATTGAAAGCTTACTTAGTTCTATCCTTTCTGTCAGTAATGCACTTTATTTATGTGAAGGTTAATGAGGAGTTTATGGCAAAACTCAAACCACGAGCCATTTTTTTCTGACTCTTTGCATCCATCTGAATTAATTATTATCGGTACAAAGACCAAGTCACACCTTAGGAGCAAGGGTAAACGGTCCTAGAATGAGCATGAACTTGCCTCTCATTACTCAGTCATCAAGGTCAACCTTTGCCTCTTCATGATGCAGCTTGAGTTTTCAGAGAACAGAACAGGATAACGACATGAGATTAACAGCCAGAGAGACACCGCTCATTTTTGTCCCTCGCAGTACTACTGACCTCTCAATCTCATATTTTCTTTGAGCCCCATTTTCTTTCACAAAGGACACTAAACTGCTGTAGTTTCAGGCAGGAATCATGCAGCCAGAGGCTGCAAAGTGTCTGCTGTTGCCCCAGCTTTGAGGTGTGTCCTTAGCCCCTTGCCCATCCTGAACAAGCGACGCTGCTCACCACCCACCGGTCACACTGTGCGCTTACCTTTAAGAACTCGAGCTCCGTCTCCTTCTCAGAAGCCCCCGCGTAGGTGTTATGCAATTTTGGTAACTCCTCCTTAATGTAGGATAGGTCAAGCTTCTCCATCACTCTGGCAGGCAGATAATGCTCCAGACGAAAGTAGGACACCCCGTGAACCTAGGAGCAAGAACGCGGCTGTGAGCGCGTCCACCTGCCCCCTGATGTGAGGCTTTTCTTCCCATTCTAAAGCCCCTGCCTCTTCCAGGAGCTGAAATGCGGCTCCTCTCCCTGCAGAATGCATCTCTCTCCTGGGAGATTGGCAGGCTTCAGGAGAGGCCTCTGAGGGCCTCGTGGAGTTACAGCTAAGTTACTGTGGTAACGGAAGGTGCGGCGGGCCAGTCTATGTCGAATGCTCCCTCTTGGCCTCTCTCAGTTAGGAGACGGAGCTTTGAACACTGCTTTCCAAACTGTGACTGCTGCTGGATTCCCAGCCCGTCACTGTGTGAATCTGTGAGGAAAGCAGTGTCCTCTAGCCCACGACTGACCAACCCTCCTCTACTGAGTCTCTTTCTCTATTGCTCAGAGAACCAGGATAGGGGGCTTAGAGCGAGAGGGCCCTCAACTCCAAAACAAGACAATTTTAAACAGAGAAACAAAATTCTGTGCAGGAAAATAAACCTCACACTACGTGATTGTGTAGTTTGGGTATGCAATGCCCTGCCCCTGTATTTGGGAATCTTTCTGCCATGATTTTACTGCTTGGGGTTTCTATGAGTTTAGCTATTACCTCCGGTTCTTATACCACATGAGTTTTTGGATTTGGTGCCTTGATTATGGTTCATAGTTCAGCAGGGCTGTGTGGTGAGCCAGGGCACTTTGAGGAACCAAAGGAGTTTAAAATAATCAATAAGAGCAACCATGAATTTGCTAAGGATAAGAAGAACAATACAAAGGCCGAGGACGTAACTCCACGGGAATGCTTGTCCAGCATGCCCTGGTTCTGATCCCCATCAGCAAAGCAAAGCACAACACAGAAAACAAGCAAACAAGTCTCCCAGTGCACAGTGCGTCTCTGAGAAGAAAAGCAGTCCTACCTCTGGCTGGTAATCTCCGTACTCTGCCTGGAGGGCCAAGGATGCGAGGAGCAGGGAGGCGTCGTCATCACAATGCACCCTCTCCTCCAGGATATCTTTTCGCAGCTGCAGGTAATACTGATGGCAGGTTAGGTTGTGTCTGTTGAAACACAGATGCGCATAGACACCCTGACTGTTGATGCCAAACCTTGGGGTGATTACATTACAGGCACAGTTTCCAACACATGTCTAACTAAGATGGTTATTTACTGAACTGTGTGGTGGACCAGCGCCACACTCCGCCACCACCAAGAGAAGCTTCTCCTCGCAGTAAACGAGAACCAACACAGACACCCACGGCTGGACAGCGTGCAGAGAGTGAGAGGCTTTGGGGCACGCAGTCCTAAAAGGGCTGTCTCTGTGGAACCCTGCCCTCAGGGCTCAGGGAGCCATGTGGAAGAAGAGGTAGAAAGATTTAAAGATGCTCCAAGGAAACAGTTCCATACATACACAACAGGACTGACAACATGAATCACAGAGACTGGCAGCGCAGCTTCAAGCCACACAGAGTCCAAGTGCTGAGAGGAGGAAGGAGACACAGGCTCCCACCCTAACTAAAACACTATGTGCAACTGATATCTGCTTGCAAAGGGAAAATTAGTTTTCTCCAGCGGAATCTCACTTAAGAGTAGGCTCAGGCCAACACAAAACCAACTCAGAGGTATTTTTATAGGCCTTTTACCTCATTTTGCTTTGTTTGGGCTTTCTGGTTTTGTGGGTCCTTATGTTTCTTTCTCTTGTTTGCTGTTTTGCTTTTGTTTTTTTTTAAGGGAGAGAGAAAGGGGATGGAGTTGAGTAGGTGGGGAGGAGCTAGAGGGAGCTGGGGGAACAGAAATGTGTCATCAGAATTTTAGTTTTTTTTTCCTCATCAAAAACATTAAAAAAAAACCAAACTCCAAATTGTTTGAGGGTAATACTGACACCACCCTTCATTTGTAGGGAATATATCCATGAGCTTGTGGAAGCCTGAAGGTATGGGAAGGTCCACACCCTGAACATCTTATTTTCCTAAGTGTACACCTGCAGGATGAAGGCTCGCTCACTTTAGGCGAAGGAGGCGTTAAGCACAGGCGACAGAGAACTCAGCAGTCTCCGAGAGTCATGCTTCCTTACTAGGGCAGGAACTTTTCTGCTCACTTGTGAGCAGCACCGTACAGATGGCCCCCTTGGCCTGCCCCAGCTGCCAGTTCCAACCAGTGTGTTGGAACCACCAGTGAGTAGTGGCTACGTGAACACAGCACTGCAACGTCACTGGCCTGATAACACGATGCGGTTAGGCAGTTAACAGGCAGAAAGTGTACATGCCATGGGTACCCGGGAGAAGGGACAACTCACGTCCTCGGCAGGGCATAAAAGGGTGACGCAGGTTTCGTCAAAACACTCAGAACTACACATAACTTACAATGAATGAAAACTGTTTGGTGATGAGCTTTTCCACAGAGTAGTTTCTGATCATGAACGAGCTACTGAAATGATGGCAGCGAAAGCATGGGTAAAGGGGAACCCCTGCATTTCTTTTAAATGAGAAGAAATTGTTGGGGATCCAGATCAAGGGGTTCGGTGTCAGCAGGTTCGAAAGGTCAACAGAGCGAGGCCAGAAAGAACAAGAGAGAACCCCTTGTGCACTCACTGTATTAGACTAACATCATCCATGAAAAATTTAATTCGGAAAAACAAAGTAAAATCAACAGCGGCTTTGCCCTTTTTCTTTGGTTCTTCTTTCCATCCCTCTGGGGCCACTTTGGTTAATTTTAAGTCAGGATCAACAAAGAAATATTCATTCTCTGAAACAGAATGAGAAAGGCATTCAGAAAGCATGGAAAGTTTCCCTTTGATGTTTTCATTTCTGTTGAATGTATTAAGCAAGAACAAGGTCTGCCGGAAGCTCAGCAGTGGCTCTGAGCACTGCGTAGGGCCGGGTTCAGTGGGGCTCAGTCTTCAAAGCCAGGCTCGGACAGACAGACCTGGACTCAGCTCCTGGGCACATCCTTTACTGCCTGTGCGAATAAATTACTTTTCTACTTCAGACATCAATTTCCTTGTCTATAAGATCAGGATGATGCTGGTTCCTGTGCTACAGGGTTGTTATTAAAATCAAATGACAAAATGGATATGAAACACCCGGGAAGGCATCCATTCAAGCAGCTCTCTGTAGAGATTAACTATTACTTACTAACTGAATGGCTATTCTACAAAGATGACTTGTACAGAATGTTTAAGAAACACATGGAGGTCTGTCTCAAAAATACCTTAACTGGTCAGTTTTGGGGGAGGGGGAATGAGTAAGGCCTCCAGCTAGGCCCTAGTTTTTTCTACCCCTCCAGGGCCTCTTTTCTTAATTTTATATAAAGATAAAAAAAAATGTACTAATTGTGTACTTAATGGATGACTCTACAAAATGAATTATTCATTTTTAAGGCACAGCATTAAAAAAAATCTCTATAGATACAGCAAGAACCTCACAAACACAAAGAATGAAACCGGGAAGTTCCTAACCCCTCCTGTTCCTCAGCGCTGACCGGCCTGGTCAATTACTCTTTCTCCAGATGAAGCCTGGCATGCTAAGAGACACCGGAGGCTGTCCTGATGCCATGTTTCCCTTCTAAACTCTGAATGAAAACATCTCGATACCTCTGAGGGCAGCGAGAGCAAACAAGTGATGCTCCACCAAGCCAATGTGGGCCACGACCATGTCAAAGACATCCCTGCACACGGTCTTGGTGTCACAGGTGAGCTCGAGTCTCTGCCCGTTCAGGAGCATCACGTTCACTTTCCTCCGGTGGTCCTCGTTCTTCCCCTTCTTGGTCTACAGCGGAACAGAAATGGCGGCGTTTACTAAAAGCAGCATCCTCACCCTGAAGCTGCTCTAGAGCACCACTGAACGCATCTTCTAAGAGGGACAGAGGTCGGCATTTCTACTTACAAGGATGGACCGTGGCAAATCCAAAGATACAAACGGTTCAATTGTCATCTTCACAAACTCGGGGCCAAAGAAGTTCTGCAAGTCGTAGAAGTAGAATACATTACTTTTATTATTTATCCTAGGTCTTTCTTCAAAACGAAATTAGTGCAAAATAATAAGGCATCGTTAGAACAAGGTGCTACAAAATAAATGCAGAAACTTTTGGTGAAGGACATTAGGTTTTGCTTAGGACAGAAGTGGAGCGTGCTTTATACAGGTTTTTTTTATGGTGCGAGAACCTTTGTGGTATACATTTTCACACGAGTATCTGAAACTATGGCTTAGAAAAAAGGTCTGTCTATGTGTGTGCTCTCCATGCTTGTACAGCTATCACACTTGAAGCTCATACTATATTGTATGACATCCTGCTTATCACCTCATTTTGACAGAGGTTTGGTTAGAATATTTAACTGATAAACCTTAATTAAATTTCTTTCATTTAGCTTATAACAGAGTTAGTTCCATTCTATTGTCAATCTAAAACTTTGGAACTGTACAGTCTTAGAAATTAATTCTGCGTACAAAAGATTAGGGCAATGAAATGTTTACAGTACCCTTGAGAAAGAAGCCCAAGTTCACTGTATGTTTATAAAAATGTTAACAGCCTAGACTTTAAGGAAAAATACTGCAAACAGAACAGCCATCCCGCATGAAAACGAAGACGCGGAGTTGCTCCTTCCCGCCCTGAGTGCGGAGTGAGAGGACCCAAGGTTTGGAGAATCAGCAGGGTCCTGCAGTCAGGGGCACGGGCTGCCCGTTCAGATTGCAGTCCCGATTCCTGCGCCCACACGGCAGCTCATAACCTTCTGTAGCTCCAGCTCTAGGGATTCAGTGCATCATTTCCTCCTCTACAGATGCAGGCATGCATGCAGTGCACAGACATCTATGCAAGCAACACACCATACACATAAAATGATGATGTTGATGGTGATACAACTTTACAGAAAAGGGAAGTCATGTCAAAATTCTGAGAACGGGTGAGCAGAGATATGGAATGCAGTTAAGAACATTCCTGCTTCTGAAGTAACCTTGAACTCCTTAGCTCACCTCCTGATTTATGAGCTAGCGAATTTCTATTAAAAATAACTTCCTGTTATAGTGAATAAAGCCAGTCGCTCTCAAGGATCATGTCTATGTTATTTATGTTTTCATTTTTCAAAACTATTTCTCCTGGAGCAGGCCCTGCACCTTGCCTGGGCATCACGGTAGAGCTGGCCCCAAGAGCGAGAACACAGGGGAGCTGGCCCTGCCACTTATCTCCTGTGAGGTGGCATGGGTGCGGGGCAACGTCCTCTTCCTCTTGCCTGCTGCAGTTGCTGTGGGAACTGGCCCCAATGGCATGAGAACAGGAGAGTTAGCCCTGGCCCCTTACCCACTGTAGCCCTTGGGAGGGCAGGCACTACACCTTGCCTGGGTAACACAGTAGAACTGGTCCTGATGGAGAAGGCACTGGTGAGCCAGCCCCAAGGGTGTGAGGGCAGGAGAGCTTCCATCCCCTCACAGGCTGCAGCACTTGGGAGAGTGGGCTCAGCACCTTGACTGGGCAGCTCATTGGAGATAGCTCTGGAGGCGGGGGTGCCGGCGAGCTCACCCTGGTGATGTGGATAAGGGAGAGCTATGGGGCTGGCCAGCTCAGCTGTCACCCAGGACCAGACCCAGGGCTCTGAGTAGACCCACCCAAAATCTGTATCATTTGCTAATGGTTGGGATGAGTGAAATGGCCAGAATTGCTGTTCCAAAGCTTCAGGATCTCCATGACACAGGGCAACAACAGGATAACTGGGAGGAGGCCTGGTGAGACCAGACCAATGACTCAGTGCAATAAACACAAGTGAAGTTGTGTGAACAGAGTATACTGTGGGACACACAGTGACACACTACAGCTTTGACGATGAGACGTTTTCCATGCTTTGTTCTTGTTGTTGTTGTGCGTGCCTGTGGGTGTGTGTGGGTGTTTTATTTTGGGGGGACGTTGCAAGGGTGAAGGGCAGATATGAAAGGATGGGGAGATGAGCAGGACTGGAGTGCATGATGTGAAACTCACAAAGAATCAATAAAAAGTTAAATTTTTTTTTTCTCCTGAAACAGGTTTGCTCTGCTGCTGAGACAGGATTCTAACTACTACACAATGAGCTTGCTCCAACCTCTTGTGTGGCCGAGGCTATGAGGACAATGTGCCATGCCTGAAAATTACATGTACATTTTCTTCTTTAACATACGAGCTTGCTGTGCAACCCAAGTTGTCCATGGAATTTCTGTCACCCAGGCTAATCTCACAGCAATTATGTGTCTGCCTCAGTTACTTAAGTGTACAGATTACATGCTTGTACCACCGTGCGAGATTACAGGCATGCACCACTATGCCTAGGTACACATATAAATCACAGAAGCACAGCCAAGACACTCCAAATCTACCTAGTAATATTCTGAAAATGAGATAAGCAGCTCAATACTGACTTTAATATCAATACTGCTTAATCCTAATGAGAATTAATTTATAACTTCAATTTTACCTCCAGGCATCTTTAGGCTATCTATAGCAACTTTTTACTAGCATATATTAATCAACAACAACGGATTTCATGAAATCTATACACCTAAAAGAGATAATCAAGAGAGCAGACATGGGGTAAAATGATCAATCCTCGTTTAGAAAGACGATGGGATGTGCATTGAACGTATGACAGGAGTCTCCTGAAGGCATCTGAAAGACTCTAACTAGCAGTGTTTTGAAAGCAGATACAAAGACTCATAACCAAACCTTCGGCAGAGTACAGGGAATCATATGAAAGAAGGGGAGTTAGTATGATGGGGAAGGGATAGGAGCTCCACAAGGACCAAATATATCTGGGCACAGGGTCTTTTCTGAGACTGACATTCAACCAAGGACCATGTATGGATATAACCTAGAACCTCTGCTCAGATGTAGCCTGTGGTAGCTCAGTAACCAATTGGTTTCCCATAGTGAGGGGAACAAGAACTATTTCTAACAGGAACTCAATGGCTGGCTCTTTGGCCTCCCCAATCCCCAAGGGAGGAGCAGTCCTGCTAGGCCACAGAGGAGGACTTTGCAGCCAGTCCTGAAGATACCTGATAAAACAGGACCAGATGAATGGGGAGGAGGTCCCCCCTATCAGTGGACTTGGAAAGGGGCACGGTGGAGATGAGGGAGGGAGGTGGGATTGGGAGGGAATGAGGGAGCGGGATACAGCTGGGATACAGAGTTAATAAAATGTAACTAGTAAGAAAAAAATAAAATTAAAAAAACAAAACAAAACAACGGGTTTCACCATGACATTCCCATACACAGATACACTGTAGTTTGGCCATAACCACATACCATCACCCTCTCTTGTCGCCCTCTTCCCAACTAGTATTTCTTCTACTTTCAGATCTTTTAAAAAAAATCTGTTCTGTGTGACCGCTGAGTGCAGCACGGGTCTCACACGGGAGAAGCAGGTGTGAGAGGTCATCCACACACCAAAGAAAACCTGCTGACAGACCTCCAAGCACGGCTGGACACAGTGGCCTGACAGCAGCTTACCCTTAGTTTTCTCTGGGTCATGGCTGTCTCCAGGGCAATTTCTCTTAGTGGATCTCTGGAGATGTCTAGCATGGACGCTTTGATTGTGTCCCCTGGGTACAGACTCAACCGAGACTGTCGCAGAGCCATCCTGGCTTGCAGCTGCATCATCTCTTCTTCTTGTCGCTTTAGCATCATCTCTTGATTAATTAAGTTGCCTTCAAGGGATGTGTCATACTGTCTAATACAGAGAAAAGAGGAGAAAGGAATAAAGGCTGGCAAGAAAACAGCTGTTTCAAAGCCAGGGTAGGGAATTCCATGTCAAGCAAGGTACCAAGAATGGTTGTGTGTACCACCTGTGCATGTGTCTGTGGGGGCCAAGAGTGTGAGATCTCCTGAACTAGAGTTAACAGGTGGCCATAAACAGCCGAATGCGGTCCTAAGAACGGACGCTGACCCAGTACTACACAGTGTGTAATAGCAAGAGAAATAATATATTAAATCTTTATACATAAGTGTATGTATACACACACATATATATACATACACACATGTACACACACACACACACACACACACACACACACACACACACACGTACGTACGTATGTCCAGTTCTTGATAAAAAGATTGTAATCTTTTGAAATTTCCTGAGAGAAAAAGTGATGAGAAAATCTTTGTTTTAATGTTTGGTCTTTGAATCTAGTCCTTAAACCCAAAACAACAAACAAAGCCCAAGGTTTCCGGGCTGAGTCTCTTGCTCCTGATGCAGCGCTCTTAAATTCCTTGTCATTTTCTGGAAACTGCTGCTCTTTCATTACAGTGAAGAACAGCTTGGTAGTTTAAAACCTGGGTAGTTTTTAGTTTAAGGCTGATCCACAAAGACAAGCCTAAATGGGAAGAATCCTAGAATCTCCAGCCCCACGGCCCTCCCTGTGGGAAGGGAGCTTAACTGGAGAGAGGTATCAGTCTGGAGAATGGAATGAAACTTCCATACAAGCCTCTCATCCATCCCAATAGACAGTCAGGCCTGGAAGGCTGTGGGGACCTGCTCCATGGTCTGCAGGAAGACCAGAGGCTGAGGACTACGCTTGGCATCTGTAACGACTCAGGGAAAAACCAACCCTAAGGTGGGGAGCTGGTGTTCCCAGTATTCAGCTGCAAAGTTGGGGTCAACTGCAGGACACTCAGCTGGGGTCCAGAGCCTTGGAGAACTGCGTGCTGACGGATCCCCTGTGTTGGATGCTCTTCGGGAGTGTTATCAGGGTCCCAGCAATGCACTGTTGCGATGGGCTGCTATAATGCTGCCCTGCAGAGTAGACCTGCAGCCCCCGGACTGCAGAGGAACCCAGCATCCTCTGACCAACTCTTCTCCCTGCAGTTTCCAGACAGGCCTCTTTCAGTCCTATAGACCTACATCTTGAAGGTCAATGGGCGTCTGCTTTTCTTATATTTTCATACCTGTCTGTGAGCACATGCGGTCATGTGGGTAAGGTCAAAGGTCAGCCTCAGGTATTGTTCCTTAGGAGCTGCCCATGTTTTTTTTTTTTTGAGATGACCCCAGGCCTGATTTATCATGAGTACCTGCCACAGCTGGCTTTTGCCTGGGGTTCAGAGGCTCTGTCCACTGAGCCAGCTCCTTAATCCCTCTGCTTAATTCTCACTCCAGCTTCCAGGCCTGCTGCCTCCTTTTCAAACAACTGGTTCCCCTTAAGTACATGGATGGAAGGACACCTGCTGGTCTGCTCTGTGCTAGGAATTTACCCTCCTACTGCTCACTTCCCTTCATTAATAGATGCTGGCACCTGACTCAGGTGTTCCTCTGGCACTACTCTTGTCATCATTCGGGGTTATGGTATGTGGGTCTCTGACCCCCTCCCTTCCTCAGCAGGCCACCCTGCGGCCTCTCCTAGTCACAGCTTCTGTTCTCCACACACCCTATACTCTTGTCTACTGTGCTCACGTCTCCCTGGGCAGGTAATTCCCGGCTCATAGCACCGCCACTCCGCTCAGTGCTCCCCCTTGTCCCACCTTGCTTGGAATCGATGGTCTCTCACTGCAGTTGCTCCTTTGCTATGAGCACATCACCCATGAGAGCGCGGAGTGGGGCTCCAACAATCTACTGAACACGGCATTGACGGGGAATGAGTCTGCTGGTAGACTCAGGAGAGGTTCCTTACTCGGGACATGCCACACCGACAGCAGAGGTGCGGAAGCAGTGGGGAAAGATGACGTGAAACGCCACTTCAAAGCTAACACCTGAGAATGCTCAGAGATGGTCTTTGGAAGCAGCTTTGAGTATCTTTTTTAGTCACTGAAAGATACTTGTGATAGCCCAGAATCCAGAAATGACTCATCCTGCTCCACCTGACTCACTGCTTCCTGTGAGTGCCCTCTCCACCCCATGGCAGAAATCAACAGCTTTCTCCGGCTTTGTTCTGCCGTTTCATTGTAGCCAAAGGGAATGGAAATCTTCTCGTGAGGAAGCATGCAACGTTGAAAACTACAGTGCTACCCTGAAGAACAAATCGGGAGCTCCGGTCGTGTGCTGACAGTGAGGGTGCCGTCAGACACCCTGGCCCACACCCAGGAAAGCCAGTGTTTTAGTCAGTGTGTCCTTCCTTGGGCAGGAAATGATGGGACCAGCTGAAAACACGAAGCTCAGCAGTTTCCACTTGACGACACATGCGTTTCTCTGACTTAGCTGCTGTGAACACTGTATAGGGCCTCTGTCCCAAAGACAGCTAACCCTTAGAACATGGGCTGCGAGTTACGGCAGCCTCACCATTAACATTTCCTTACAGAAGCCCAGAGGGTCAGAATTAAGTCTCTCGTGACTCACACTTTTGAGGTTTGTTATTAAGAAAACAGTTTCCAAGATGACTTAACTGTTTTGAAGATAGTATCCTTGAGTGACAGATTCAAATCTGCATTAATACACAATCTCAACAGCCTGTCTAGTTGCTGTCTCTAGTCCTTCTTTTACTGACACTCAAAAGGGATATTAACTATTCAGAGCTTTTCTAAATTAGACATATAGAGAAGGAAATTTTAAAAAAATTCTCCTTCAGGTCAACACTGGGCTTAATGTAAATTAACATTGGCTTCTTACTATTCATCCCCAAGGTTTTGGCTTCAGCAAGAAAAGCATGTAATGTTGACTATAGAACTATCTTTGCCTCCGACTTATTTTAAAATCATAGAAAAGAGTTCATTATAAGAAAGCAGTAATTAAAATGCCATTATGTAAATAGAAAATTATTTTCTACAAAGAAAAAAATATCACAAGTATTTAAAAAAATGAAAGAAAAACCTTGCGACATTAATTAAGCAGTAAATTTTCAGGACATGACCTTCGTCACCCAACCTCTAAGCCACGGGTGACTGTCCTACCGCGGAGCTAGGATTACACGGTCTAGTAACAGTGCACAGGTACAGACATTGTCGGGCATATTCATTAGCTGAGGGGCAAATATTTGAAAATTTCCAGATGATTCTCTTTACAATCTGAGGCATGTGGAGTACGCAGTGAGTTTAAAGAGTTTTCATGCTTTGGAAATACACTCTCAAGCTGCTTTAGGACCTCGAGCTTCATTTTACAAATGTGAAATCGGCGTTCCGTGTTTGTGCAAGGCAGCCGTGTGTGCATGGCAGCGGTGCATTTTCACACACTGAGCACTTGCCTGAGAAGTCTTGCAGCTTAAGCAGAGCAAAGGACACATGACCACAGCACAACCCAGGTCTCGCACACACAACCACTAACATGTCATAAGAAACTTGTCAAGTATTTCAGTCTGAAGCGAACACTGCACAGACCCACACGGCTTTGAAATATGCCAGAGAAGCTCTGTAAGCCAGCCAGCCAGTCAATAATTAAGTTTTTACATAATAGCTTACATAGCGGTAATCTAATTAGTCATTCAACCAATGCACACTGAACACTTGAGCCTACCCCAGTCCTTCAAAGCACAGACAACAGTTATTTACATTTTAGGAACAAAGGTTTACTATGTTTCCACAGATTTTTAATGCCATGCCTTATGCTCTTGATTGATATGTCTATTCATACTGACAATTTACAAAGTCAAATGCCAAATGAGATTAATAAGAACCAAACCAAACAAAACCAAAGCCACCCACCTGTGACTCCCAACTAGTGCTTTTCAAAGCCATACCTTGGTCGTGACTGGCCCTGACCGGTTTCATCTACTCCGGGAAGACAACTGCTGGATTCAAACCTCTTGGTGGCTTCACTTCTTCTCACTAATTGTGAATAAAAAATACAATAGTGGTAGAAGTGATAAAAATATGAAAGCAATCTTACCTGCATTTAGCAGACATAAGATAATTTGTACAAATCACAACCACATGGTATAAAAATTTTTTGATGTTAAGTCATGTTAGGTTTTGTTGTTTGTTTTCTTGTTTCTCTTTGAGATGGGGTTTCTCTGTGTAGCCTTGGCTGTCCAGGAACTGGCTCTGTAGACCAGCCTGGCCTTGAACTCATAGAGATCTGCCTGCCTCTGCTTTCTGAGTGCTGGGGTTAAAGGTGTGTGCCACCTTGCCCAGGTAGTTATGGTAAATTTTAAAGACTGTGACCTTTCCCCTGTAAAGTGAAATAATTATTACTGTTTTAGGAAACTTCTATGATTTGATATAACCCTTTTAAAAGAAAACGTTTTACAGTCTTAGTATTTTGACAACTTTTGTTTAAACAGTTACTAAACATTGCAATAGTTGCTTTTAAAAAGGAGACTTTGCTCGCATCAGAGGACGCTTACCTTGTCTGAAATCTGACTCCGAGGAAACAAGAGAGGGGCTTTCACTGGAGGTGCTAAATATATCACTGTGGTAAGTTTTGTATCTTCGGACTGGTTCTAAAAGAATATTTAAAAATTAGGAAGTTTATTATCAATGCCACACAAATTTTAAAAAGAACATACTCAATCTTGGAAGATTAGAACATTTTATACATTGCTTTACATTAGCCACTTACTAGACTGACTGTATCTGAGAAATGAAAACTGAGCTCCAGTGCCGAGCTGAAGCTCCGGTGCTGAAGTGCTCTGAACATTATGGCCCAGTGCCGAGGTGCTTCCCACACTGGGCTTCAAGCATGGATTCCAGAACAGACTGCCTAGATTTGAATGTTAGTTAGTAGCTCAAGTTCCCTGCAACTCACAACTTACGTTTTGTTTCTTTATAAAGCCAAAGGGGGGACGTTATAGCAAGCATCCAGATCTCATAAGCTTGCTGTGAGAATTAAGTGAATAAACATTCAAAGCTTAGGACAGTACAAGTGTTAGCGGCGCAACATTCATGACAGTCTTTAGGATGCTACGCACAGTTTCCTGTTAGGTACTCACTAACACCCAAGGGCACAACCAAGAGACTTAAAACGTGGAAGTACACGGCTACAGAGTGCAAGACAGGAAACAGCTCTACCAGAGTATGAGAGGAGTCAAGGACAGGAGTCTCCTGCACAGACTCTTCAGAGAGAAGCCCCTCCAAGGAACTAAGGCCTAGGATGCAAGCACAGGGTAGAACTGAAATCCTGCTCTAAAACCCTTCTTTTTAAAAAAACGTTTAAGTGTATGGATGTTGTGCCTGCATGTATGTGTGTGTGCCATATATGTGCTTGGTACCTACAGTGACCAGAAGAGAGTGCTACATCCCCTGGGACTGGAGTTATAGACAATTTGTAAACTGTTATGTGAGTGCTCAGAATTGAACCAGGGTCCTCTGGAAGAGCAGCCAGTGCTCTTAACTGTTGAGAGGCCCACATCCTGCTTTCTAAATACTTCTGTCCCATGCTCTCTTCGTCCTCACTGTCCCTGTGGCAGGCGCTACTGATCCATATCTGTCCCATCCACTTGTCCTGTGTGAGCACTACCCAACTCTCAAATTTCCTCTCTGCACATTGCCCTGCATATAACCCAGTGCACAGAAAGTGGGCCTGCCAGACTGGAAAATCTGGGCACAGCACCCAAATTCTTTAATTTGGTGCTCCTTATTTCATTTAATTTAAAAACCTCAAATTCTTTAAAACTAGAGTTACTCAAAATACAGTTTACAATCTCCTTAGCTATTCAAAGACTGTCATCCCCTAGTCCACGATTTGTTTCATATCTTGAAGCTGTGGCTTCACTTGTGAGAATCTACATGAAAGTACACAGCTTTGCTCACAGCCCCAAACTCATTACATAAAAATTTGCATCAGAATTTAAAAACTAAACTCAGGTAGAAGACCATCAAGTACCCTCAGACACTTCTTGGCAGTGCCTGCTGATATCTTGGTTTCTCTTGTCTTGGTGTCCTCTTTCCCCTTTGACGTGTCTGCTTTTCTTCACAACAGTAAGCTAAGCAGCAAACTGGACGTTGTTTCTCTTACGTTCCAATTCCTCGTGCTTAGCTAACGCCGTGCCCTAAATCACTAGGTATTTCCCATGCTTCCCCTCGAGTCAAGCTTCCCCTCAAGTCCAGCATATGCCCTGTGTGCAGCAATCACAGAACGCTGAGTCAATGAATGAAGACACGGGCTACATGAAGGGGACCTTTAGGTAACCTCTTCATTTCACAAACAGAACAGAAAGGTCAGAGGAGGGCTGCTGGCAAGGACTGAGAAAGCATGCATGCTGTTTCCGTAAGTTTGGCGGTTTGGAGGAGAGCCCTTTTGGCCCAGTGGACAGTCTGTTCATGTTTTCAGGTTGACAAAAAGCCCGATTTTGAAGTTGCAGATGATAGTCAGAAAAACTGATGGAAAATGTGCTGAAGGAAATGGGAGATGGAAAAAACGTAATGGGGAGGCTTCACAAAGAGCAAACACTTTCTTCTCAATAGAAATGGAGGGCAACGAAAAAGGTAGAAATAACAGACAGGAAATCTCAAAACACTGATGCCAGAAGATGTCCTGGTAATAAAGAGTGAGCTGTGTGCTGGAAGCACCACGGCTGGAGTGGAGGTGCCAGGAGAGACATTCTCCTGTGGCTGCTGCGGGTCAGTGAAACCTACAGCAAATCCTTCATGTGGCCGTAGGGCCAGGATGCATGACTTTCAGTGACGCTTAACCCAACTGTTTTTGTGGCTTTGTTGGTTTTAGAGAAACCGGCCCATAGCAAAGCTACGATGTGAAGAGGGACAGATGCTGACTGTGGGCCACTAAGCAGTGAGCACCAGCTGTATGCCCAACAAATGAGCACCAGCTATATTCCCAAGCAGTCTGCAAATTCGAGGGCAGGAACATCACACGATGAATTGTTTGTGTTAGGTATTCAAGAGATGGTAAAAGAAAATGAAGTTAATCAATAATGAAGTGGTTAAACAGCATCACAAGAGCCAGGCTTGTGGAACCAGGAGCAAAGTGTTGGGAGAATCCAGGCAGAGCGGGAGTCTTGTTGAGAAAAATAAAAAAACAACTTTAAACAAATGAGAGAAAAACAGATGACTGGCCATGAAGTCAATAGGAAGGAAGTTCCCAGGACAATATTCATCTGAAGAACAAGACATACATGGTAGAGGAGTACACTATCCAGCTTTGTGATAGTCAACATGAGTGTCAAATAATACTCTAATCAATGGAAAAAGTTTCAGAATTGAGAAGTATTTCCTAGTCTTCCATAAACAACTGTATTCTATTGCAGAGAAATGTCATGGGAAAATAAGATTTTAAATCCTCTGGTTGAATATGATGTGATTAGAAAGGGTCACGGAGGAACAAACCTAGTAGTTTCAATGAAAACAAGTATCACCTAATAACAGTATATATTCAATAACTTATTAAATTGTGCCCAAGTTGCAGAGTTATGTAGGAAGAACTGCTCATTCAAAGGCACCAAAGTACCTTTGTTCTATTGTTACCAACCTCTTGCGCTAATATTCTATGGAATTTTCTGGGGAACCCTAACCAAATCACAAACCCTGAACTGTGAGTTCTGGAAAGCTAAACCAGCAAGGCCGAGGAGAAGACCCAGAGTCAATGCTGTTTTACAAAGAAAAGCAGGAAGGAGCTGTGAACTATTCAATCAACTGCCTAGAGAGGTTTCTTGCACTCGTTTGTCTCACAACGGCAGCTTCTCACACTATACAAAGCGGCACATGAATTTACTGAACTATTTCTGCAAAGTGGGTGTGCCTGTAAGAAAACTCTACACAGAACTCCATTTCCCATGCCGTGTTTTGTATCTGTGTTTCCTTTAGCTTATAGTCTGTGTCTAGTTGTTTCTCCTCAGCTAGGGTTCCTTCTCCAAGACAAAGGCAACTCTGTTTATCCCTCTGGAAAAGTTGTGAATGCACCCTCACTGATAAGCCTTTGTAAATAGATGTGTTCTCAGGACCACGCCCTGGTGGGGAGCAGTACCATGTGATGAATTCGGCTGGAGGATGGCTCTCTAGAAATTCACGAGATGACACGCTCTGTCTACTAAGGCTAGAAAGGTGCTTTACAATAACAGAAATAGAAGGGATTAATTTTATAAGCTTCTTGTATTCCGAGCATCATTAAACTGCTGTTAGCCACGTTCTGTTCATGCAGCAACATGCTAGATATAACTAGATTAAAATTCTCACAGTGTTTTCTACTCAGCCATGCTTATATATAAAAAAAAAAAAAGTTGATAATCAGATTAAAGTTCTAAGCCACAATTTAACAACTAGTCATGCTTAAAACCAAAGTAAAAAGCTTTGGCTTTTGTAAGCATGCACTTTCCCCTTCTAAATTAAATAATTAAATCAACCATTTCAGAAATGTAAAATCACGTGTCCTTTCTCAAGGCTGTCTTACACGGTATGGAGAGGCCCACGCTCCGCCTTACAGTGCGCTTGGGCTCTGTGCTGATCTACACGCAGAAACGTTTCCGCAAGCACTGACCAGGAAGAGGCAGTTTTCTTCCTCTGCGCTGGTCTGCAGCAGGCCGGTAAGACCGACTTTTTGGTAAAGCTTCCTAGCACCATCGGACACCTTGACCTTGCAAGACCCAACTGCCACTAATACTTATCTTTGTTTCTCTTAGATATTTTTGAGGCGGGGTCTCTCTGTGTAGTCTTGGATGTCCCTGGATTTGCTGTGTAGACAGAGCTGGCCTTAAACACACAGAAATGCAATTGCTGGGGTTCAAGCTGAGCACCACTGCACCTGGCAATGTTTTCTGTCCATATCTCAGTGTTTAATTCTAGCACTCCACGGCAGTGTTCCTGGTGTGCTAGGGGAACTCCGTGCTCTTATCATACGACCGAAGAACGTATTCACCTTTGGTGGGTCTCTCCACGTCATTTGCTGATTTATAATTTTATCACCTATTAAATATGTAGATGGAATCTACAATGAAGGAAGTGATGTACAAAGGTCTATTTGCTCTAGACTGTCTCATTCTTCAGGGAATTTCCTTTTCTGACTGGCTGTATGAGTGTGGTTTTCAGACACAGAAGACAAAGTCCTAGAAACCATCAGTGTTAAGAACAGTAAGAGTGAAAGGCACATGGGAAGGGCCCACAGGTGTGACCAAAGTCACCAAACTGTTTGCAGTACAGACACAGACACACACCCATAGGCAGGTACGTACACACAAAAACACACACACACACAAATACCCTCTCCAAAGTCATCTGTGCAGTAAGAAACACTGGAACAAAACAGAGAATAAAGAAGAATGACTACGAGAACTCAGTTACATTTTGTAATACCACATACACTACTTTTTCAAAAAGCCTTAGTTTCTCATGATACTTCAGCATAGCAAGAATATTTTTTCCTTTTTCCTAACAGCTTCATCCTGTGAACAAAATGGACACCAACTCTACAATCACACCAGCTTCACTGACAAGTAACCAGCAGCATCTTGTTCTTTACCATCCAGAATCACAATTTCCACTAGTGCAATAG